TTACTATATATAGGTAGCTATTCTTTAACATTAATATAGTAAAGACTAGTATTAGAGTTATAGTATACTATATATAAGAGATAGCCCTAACTAGTATTACTAAGGATAGAAAAGTAGTAAGCTACCTACTATATATAGTGGTTAAACTAGTTATATTTCTTTCTTATATATTATTAAATAAGGAAAAGAGGTACTAGGCTATAAAGATAGAAGTATATAGCTATATCTAGGTATTAAGAAAGCTCTAATATATAATTAATATAATAGATAAGCTACTAATAATATACTTTATTAACTACTACTCTATTATTTAACTAGATAAGTAACTTAATATTACTAATATAATAAGTAGGTAAGTTATTAATAAGAAAATTATATAGGCTATAGAGTATACTAGTAATATAGATATAAGAGTTATATATTATAAGGGTATAGACTATATTATCCTAGACATATTAAGTAGGCTATCTATATAGCCCCTTTATATAGACCTAAAGTAGACCAGCCTATTAGACAATATACCTAATAATCGCGCTAAGCTATAGCTTAATAGCCCCTAGGTAGTATACTATATAAATAAGAACTTCCTAAAGGTATAGCTTATAGTAGCGCCTATACTATATATAAGCCTTATTAGTATAAACCTAGAATTTAAAGAGTAGCTATATTATAGATACTAAGAGGACCTAGTCTAGGCATATATATAGGATACTATTATACATAATAATAAGTTAGCCGCTAATAATAAAGCTAAGCTCCTATTTAAGATTAAGGATAGGCTTTTATAGAAAGTAGTTATAAATTACCTAGATAAGCTATATATCCTATATACTATAGAATAAGATATCTTTAAGGCTATCTATATTAGTAATTATATAATATATAATAAGCTTAAACTAGTACTAAGGTAATACTATATATATAAAGGTAGTAAGTATTTTTAAGAGTTTTTATAGTGTTATACTAAGTACTAGGAATACTATAAGCAAGTATATATACTATATAGGAACCTATAGCTACTATTACTAGCGCCTATACTATACTACTATATCTTAATTAACTTTATACTAGTACTATTACTCTTAGAATAAGGGTATATAGTAATATTAGTAGTAGTTTATAAATTTAGTAAGTTAGTATTAGTAGCCCCCCTAAAGGATATATCTAATATAGTAGAGGTAGTATGAATCCTACTTAATATACTATTTAATAAAGGCTAAGGTATCCTTAAGATTATACTCTTAGATAGGGACCTAAAGTTTATAGTAGTACTATAGTAGTATATATAGAAATAGATATATATAAAGCTTATATATACTATAGTATACTACCTATAGATAGATAGCTAGATAGAATAAGTAATCTAGATAATATCCTTAGCTATCTAAGTCTATATTACTAGCTTAGAGAAACTAGTATAATAGGAATTAATTATACTATAGTTAATCTTTTAAATTAATAGTATATAATCTATATTAATAGGGTACTTACTATATAAAGTTATTAAAGGATTTAACCCTATAAATATACTAGACTACTTAATTAGTAGTATATTAGTAAAACTAAACTATAAGGTAGCTAGAGTCTTAGTATATAATACCTTTATTATTACTATAGTAATAATAAAGAACTATTATAATTAGTAGTATATAACTTACTTCTTTATAGTTAGTAATATAGTATATCTTAGATTATATAAGGGATATACTATAGCTAATAACCTAGGATATAAATTTAGGAAGTAATTTATAGGACTTTATTATATTATAGAGTATATTAGCTATGTTATATACTGACTAGCGCTACCTGCTATATTATGTATCTAGCTAGTAATTTCGGTCAACTACTTAGAGCTAGTATATAGGCTACTAGTAGAATCTAATAGGCTACTAGTAGATATATAGATAGCTATTAAAGAGGCTAACTATATAACTCTATAGGCTAAAGAACTATATAAGTATACTATAATACCTAAGCTATTATAGCTTTATATAAAGGACTATAAAATTATCTAGATAATAAATAAGAAGTATAAGGATAGTATATGATTTTTCTAAGTATAATATTATAATCTAGATAAGAGTTATAATAAGTGGTTATCTACTAGAGAGCTAGGTAAATATATAGTGGTAGTGTTAGAAGATTAGATGTTAAATAAACGCTATTTATTATTAGACTACCTAGTAGTATAGTGTTTATAAAACCTCTCCCCCCCCCCTCTCTAGCTTACTTTCTACTTCCTTTATTTCTTAGTATTAATATTATTATTTTTTTTAGTAAATAGCTATTTCTTTCTATCTTTTAATTTTTATTTCTTATCTATATATATAATATAGTAAGCTTATTAGTAAAATATAATATAATAAGCTTATTAGTAAAAGTAGTATTATATAAAGCCTATAAGTATAAGAAGATAAAGTATTAAGATCTACTTAATAACCTAATAAAAGAAGAAGGCTTCTATATATTAGCCTCCTATCTATTAACTATACTAGCTATACTAAGTAAGCCCTTACTAGTAGACCTTAAGCTTATAAAGCTTTATTATATATAGATACTAAAAGATATTATAGATCCTATACCTATATAGTATAATAAAGTTAATTTAAAAGCCTTATATAATATAGTAGGTAAGCTAGTGAAGCTGTTTAACCTACTAAACACTAAATTCTAGCTATTATTAGGAGCTTTTATTATATAGTAGGTATTATACTTAAATTAAAATATCCTACTTATAGTAGTATACCTTAAGTAATATATATTAGGTATATAGTAATTATATACCTTTAGCTATAAAAATACTAATAATCTACTAATAACTAAATATAATATATTAAAGCTAAAGACACTTATATAGATAGTAGTTATTATAGTAGTCTATAGTATAGATAAAGCTTATACTATAAAATAGTATCTAGAGAATAAGAATCTTAGGAGAGTACTTATAGGAGTTAAGCCCTATATAACTAAGTTTAATATAGCGCTAAAGATAAAGGAATAGGTAAAGGATTATATAATAGAATTAATAGTAAAGCTTATAGCACTCTATAGTAAGAAAAGGAGATAATAGGATAATAAAGTATAGGAGATAGAGTTAACTAATATAGAGTAGTAAAGGTTAAAGATTATTAGAGATATTAGGTAAGTTAAGTTAGTAATTATATATAGTAGTAAGAAGGAAAACCTAGGCAATATTAACTACCTTACTTATATATAGCTATAGTAAATACCTCCTTAGCTAGTAGCTAAGCTACTACCCCCTATTATATAATCTAATAGCTATATTAATATTAAGCTAGTAGTACTATAGAGAGTAGCTAGGTATAATATTATACTAGTTAAGGTAGAATATAAGCGCTTATATAGCTTATAGGAGGATATATATAATATAGTTTAAAGTAACTTATATATAGTAAATAGGGTTAATATTACTAATAAGTTATAAGAATATATAGTTAAGATATAAGGAATTATAGACGCCTTAGAGAAGGATAATAAGATAATATACTAGGAACTTGCCTACTTAAAGGACTTAGTTGATAGAATAAATATCACCCTAGTAGAGCTATACTAGGATACTAGATAGTTTATAATACTACTACCTACCTTTATTAAGGTGGTATACCTAGAAGGCGGTACTAAGCCGCTTAAGAGCTATATAGGGGAGCTAATATATATTATAGGAAAGATAGCTACTATAGTGAGGGATTAACTCTAAAGACCCTAACTAGGTTAGGAGATAGTAAAGGCTATAAAGGATTAGATTAATAGAGTTATAGCTTATATCCTTATAGATAAGCCTAATATAGTCTTATATAGTATTAACTTTATATACTAGATAATAAAGATAAGTATAGCTACTATGTAATAGGAGGTTATATCTATATAGGCGTATATTAATATACTAATAGCTATATAAGAGTCTAGTAAATACCTACTTAACACTATCTCTATATTTAAATATAAGCTTCTTAATATATAGTGTATAAACCACCTAACTACTACTACTATACTAAAGGTTATATATAAAATAATATAAGAAAAAATAGTTAATAACGCTAGTATATAACCTAAGGAATAGACCTATATAGCCCTTAGTATATTCTATTACCTTAGTATAGTAAACTATACCCTAGATATCCCTATAATAGAGGGCCTAGAGAGCTATATACACTAGTAGGTAAAGCGTATATTTATATAGCGACTAATACTAAAGCTAGAATTTAATAGTAACCTTATATAGTATATAATAATAAAAAAGGCTAAGGATATAGTAAGTATAGTATTCCTTATAACTAAGATAAGTATAGCTACTAAAGTGACTAAAGTAGTAATTAAAATAGTAAAGCTAAAGTTAAAGCCTAGATAGAAGCCTATACTATAGTAGCTAAAGCTAGTTAAGCTAATCTAAGATTAAAGGTAGTATATATTTAGAATAGATAAAGGCTAGTTCTCTAGTCTTAAAGATAGTTAGTTTACTAATCCTAAGGATATAGATATAGGTGTACTAGGCTTAGCGCCTATTAAGCCAAATATAGAGGAACTTAGGTAGAATATAGAGGTACTAGAGCTAGCTAACGATATAGATAAGGATAAGATAGATAAGGTAGATAGAATAGAAGTATAAGGATTCTTTAGTATAAAGGAATTATCTTTATATATAGTAGAGTATAATTAGTTTTTACTTATATATAGAGTAAGATTATTTAGTTTCTTCTTTTTATTTATAGGACTTATATATACCTATAATTTAGCTTAGCTTTAGAGGAGATATCTTTATATATAGTAGAGTGTAATTAGTTTATCTATATATAGGGTAAGGTTATTTGGTTTTATTTGACAGCGAGGTCGCTGCTATAGGCGATAAGGCATATTGTCACGTGCATAGCACGTGCACAGCAGCACAGCACTCTTAGGGCTATAAGCCACCTACGCAGAAGCTAGGGAATACATCATCATCTTGCTAAAACTCTTGTGCCCAACATGAACGGCACATTACCATGCAAATAGCAACCAAGGCCGGGCCTGGTCGCCCGTTGGTGTAAGTCGCCTGGCCGATCATTTGCGAGAATTATCTGATCCGGATGCACGAATAGATCCTGTGTCGTCTGTCGGAAGCGCAAGCTCAAATGCGACCGTCAGCACCCTTGTCGAAACTGCCTGCGCTCACGCTCAAAGAATCCAGAGAGGGACTGCGTCTACGAGGACACATTGCCTATTGATCCTGCGCGGCCACCGCGAAGACGGTCGTCTGTAAGCCAACAAAGGCTAACGCCTTCATCAACCCCGGGACTTGTCTCGTCAGCGTCTGGACACGCTTCGTCGGATGATGCGGACGCGCCCATCTTGGTTCCCCGCCCAGGCGCGTTGACCAACGCTGCGTCCCGTTCGCATGCCACAACTTCAGAGCCAACCCAATCCTATCCGTCGACATCTGCAGCACACTCGATGCGAGGGCCCAAATCGCTGGCAAGCGACGTGTGCTCGGCTCGGTCGGTCGAAAGCACATTCTTCGGAAACACGATGGCCATCGGCCGCGGCGTGACGCACAAGTCGCGATTCTTTGGCCAAAGTCACTGGCTCACGATTATTGTCTTGGTACGCCTCTACTGCTCCTAAATTATGTGGTTTTGGCCTATATCTTTGCATTGCTAATAACTGTCTAGTTTCGAGACCTGGCGCAAACCATCACGACAGACTTGTCAGTCGAAAACTCGAAGGCGCTCTCGATGATGCGCAGGTGTAAAGCTCTGGCAAAGAACATAAAAATCCAAAGGGCACCGATTTGGCCAGCGCCGCCTACAACAGCTCTGCCCGCCAAAAATTTGGCCGATGAGCTGGTCGACTCCTACCTTGACACTACCGAGACTCTATACAGGGTCCTGCACATCCCCTCTTTTCGAAGAGACTACGATTCTTTCTGGCTGCTCGGGTCAGACACGCTACCCGACAAGGATTTTCTGATACAGCTCAAGTTGGTACTGGCCATTGGAGCTACTACCTATGACGATACATTTTCTCTGCGTGCATCGGCCATGACATGGGTCTACGAAGCCCAGACATACCTATCCGAGCCTGGCAGCAAATCGCGCCTCAACATCCAGTCTCTCCAAATCAGCATCTTGCTCTTGATCGCACAAGAGGCGATTGGGATTGAGGGCCATGCGCTGTGGATTGCTGCTGGCGCTCTTGTACGGACCGCGATGCACATGGGTATTCACAGAGACACGACAGACGAGTTTGCCACGTCGCGGCCACGACTCGTGCAAGAGATGTGCATTCGGCTATGGAACACCGTGTTGGAACTGGCTTTGCAGTCCAGCTTCGTTGCTGGCAAGCCTCCACTGGTCTCAGTCGATGACTTTGACGCACCTTGCCCCGGGAACTTCGATGATGACCAGTTGACACCCGAACTGAAGGATCCGTTGCCGAAACCCGACGAGGAATTTACGCAGACGACCATTTCTATTGCGCTCCGAAAAATGTTCCCGCTCCGGTTAGCAGTGGCCAAAATGCTCAACGACACCAATGCACAAGGCACGTATGAGGAAACCCAAAAGCTAGACCAGGGGCTGCGGGAGATATACAAAGACGTCTGTCGCACACTGACACGTGCTAAACTGGTATCTCCGGCGTCATCTCCGCGATTTGACACGAATGCTCTAGATGTCATTGTTCACCGGTATATTTCATCGCTGCACGTCCCATTTCTTGATAAAGGACAACACGAAACAGCCTACGCATTCTCAAGGCAGGCGACTGTCGATGCGGCCCTCCGCATATGGCGCGCCGCAAGCCTATCCTGGCACAGTGTCCCGCTGGGTAGCGGTCCCGGGGCTGTCCACGGCTTTGCGAGCCCATCTGCGGCAGACAAGTTTGGTCGATTCACTCGCTGCGGGTCTGCCGCTGGTTTCTTTCGCTCCGCCGCTTTTCACGCAAACCTGACTGTGGCATTGGAGCTCAAGACGCAGCTTCGGGAGCAAGAAAGCCTCGGCCCGGCCATGTTGCGGCCTGATCTCCTTTCTGTGCTTGAAGATGCCAAACACTTTACCCTGCAGTGCATCAATGCCGGCGAGACTAATGTGAAGGGGTACTTGTTTATCTGTTTGATCACAACACAGATCTATAGCTTACAGCATGGTCTGGGGTCAGATGACGTTCGGCATGCGATACTCCGAGCTGTGGAGGACGCGCTGGACGTTTGCTTACCTAGTCTGGAGAAGATGTGCATATCCGGGACCAGCGGCAAGATTTCGAGCTCTGGTATTGACAGCACATACGCAACAGCGTTAGCGACCCCAAATGGGATGAACCAAGGCTACGACTCACATGTAAGATTCCTCTTTGTTGCAACGTTTCTCTGTACTTACCTTTTGACATCAGATGCCCGACATGATGTTTCATTCTGCTAACGAGACACTGGACTTGATGAACTGGATGATCACCGAGGAAGGTGTTATGGATGGACCTTTTTGGGTTGGGGGCGGGGTGGGCGCAAGGTAAATGAAAGCGGCAAAACGGTGCACGCCTAGGTAACTTGACACATTATATTGAAAGCTAAATAGAATCTGAACTGATAGAACGAAAAAAAAACAGCATTACGCAATTTCTTCTCCCATGTACGGAAAGCTCATCGGCTCGTCAGTGTCCAAAAAGGTTTCCAGATAGGCACTGATTAGTGGATCCATGCCAGCATCCACCGCCTGAGCAATCCACTTCGAGAGGTCAACACTCTCGAAACTTTCTCCGTACACAGACTCCATATGCTCCCGAAATTCATGAATTGGGACCTTGACGCCTCCAGAGTGGTGCTTATACGTTACTCCAGGACTCTCATCACGGCCCTCCGCGACGAGCCCGAGCACGTCCCCGACCATCTCCTCCACCACCTGGTCTACCTGCCCAAAATCTAAAAACCCGCGGGCCCGCTCTCTTGGAAGCGACGGCACACACCTCATGGACGCTGAATAGCGGAGAATGGCGTTGAGTGCATCCGAGTTGGGCGCCTCGTCGCTGACCAGCGCGCATGGTCGGTGAATGGCGACCTTCCACGGCACAGCGACCCCGCCCTTTCGCGCCTGCCGGACGCTGGTCGACAGACGCTCGAGAAACACCTCGCTAGCCCACTTGCTCGCCGTGTAGCCTTGCGTGCCATCTGCGGGCGGCGGGAACGCGGCAACGGAACCGGGCGGTGGCGATGGGCTGCCAGTTAGTAGTACAACGCGGTTGGAGGACACAAAGGCAAATGGGATAGGCGGAGAGCGCGAAAGGGCCAGGGAGCACAGAGTCTTGGTGGATGCGAGATTGGGTGCGGCGAGGGTCGAGTACGTGTTGAGGCAGTGACCCATGGATCCCGCGTGGAGGATGATGTCAACAACCCGCTCGAGATGCGTCTTGTCCTTAGGACCGAGACCGAGGCCTGAAGCGGCAATATTGCCGGTGTAGTACACGATCTTGGCGTTCTTCTGCTGCTCAAGAAGATGCCGCTCGTCGCTCGAAACAGCGATGCAGTGTATCTTGTTGACCTCGGGCGCCTGCAGCAGACGCAGGAGGAGCTGCCCTCCGAGGAACCCCGTGGCGCCCGTCAGAAGTATTTCCAGTCCGGTGGTCTTTCCCACACTTCTCGACAACGTCGTCTCAGACAAGGACAGTTTGTCAACCTGCGCTCGCATCGATGCGGGCACAACTACCTCGGCCGCCCAGTCAATGTTAACCTCTTTCTCCTCGAGCTGCTCCTCGCGCTTCGCCACCACACACTGCGCCATGGCGCTCAGCGTGCTGGCGTGATACAGTGCTTTTGTCGGGACGCGCACGCCCATGGACTCGCGAATAGCAGCCTGCAGCTTCATCAGCAGCAGCGAGTTGCCGCCACGGAGGAAAAAGTCAGACTCGGGTGTGATACGTGGACCATCGCGGGACAGAACGCGCTCCCAGAGGAGGCGCAGCTCGCCTTGGCGAATCGTCATCTTCTCGCCGACGAATGCGGTTGCAGCGTGGTTGGGCGAAGCTAGAGGGAAAAAAGCAACGGCCTTGCGGTCAAGCTTGCCGTTGGCAGTGGTCGGTAGTGAGGGGACGATGGCGATGGTGGCAGGGACGGAGTACTGGGGGAGGAGGGTGGAGAGGCGGCGCAGTATCGTGGTGATTTGCTGCTCGCCGAGGGTGGCGTCTTGGTGTGATGCTGACAGCGTGCAGTGAGCGACAAGCATGTCCTCGCGGCGCGATACGACGGCAGCTTGGACAAGGCCTTGTGATGCTTGGACGACAGCGGCCTCGACCTCTTGGAGCTCGATGCGGAGACCGCGGAGCTTAATTTGGCTGTCACCTTCGATGCGCCCGAAGCAGAGTAAAGTACCGTCGGAAAGCAGACGGCCCTTGTCGCCGGTACGATACAATCGCTCGCCTTGACCACGGACTTGGACAAACTTGGTCTGGGTTTCCTGCGGAAGGCCGAGATAGCCCAGGGCCACGCCAGCGCCGCCAATGACGATTTCGCCAGTGTGATTCGCAGGAAGCCATCTGCTGGCGGAGTCCATGATCCGGATCGAGTAGTTCGGAAGCGCTTTACCCACGGCGTATCTGGCCAGATCGTTCTCAACCGGGAAGCCGGGACTGTCTGCTTCAAGGGAGACAGTCTGGAAAGAAACCGCCGCCGTTGTTTCTGTCGGCCCGTAGCAGTTGGTCAGTATCAAGTCGTTGCGCCCAAGACGGCGCAGCTCGTCTTTGAGTATCTGCGAGATCGGTTCGCCGCCCATACACAGGCATCTCCATTCCGCGGCCTCGGTGAGCGAGTCAGATCCATACTGCAGCCACGCGAGGTACTCTGACGGCGTTGCAATGGTCAGAGATACTCCGTGACGCGCTATGAGGCTGGTGAGTTCCCCAGGGTCTCGCCGCGCCTCGGATGGCACAATGACAAGACAGCCGCCGCTGGCTAGGGCACAAAACGTTTGCACAAGTGACATGTCGAAACCGAGAGAGCTCTGCTGCAGGACGCTTTCGCCGCGGCCCAGGTTGAGAATGCCCGTCTTGAGAGCAATGTGGTTGCGAAAATTGCCCTGGGTGAGCACGACGCCCTTGGGGGTACCTGTTGTGCCGCTGGTGTATAGTAGAATGGCAGGAACGTCTGGTTCGGCGCGTAGTGGTGCTGCTGACTGTGTCTGAGGGGATGGCAGGCTGTCGACGAGTAGCTCGTGGGGTGGTTCGTAGCCAGGCGCGCTGAGCGCGGCGCTGAGTCTCCGGGCTCGATCTGCCGTAGCTGCGTGGTAGAGAATGAGGCTTGGGGAGCAGTTTGACACGAGAGCCAAGTGTCGAGCATCGGGTAAACTGGTGTCGAGAGGTACATAGACGGCGCCGACGTGGAGAATGGCCAACATGGCGACGATGGCGTCAATGGACGGCTGGCACTGAACTGCCACGCGGGAACCGGCCCCGCAGCCTGTAGAAATGATTGAGCTGGCGACCTCATCCACTCTCGACTGTAATTCAGCATATGACAGCTCTACCTGACCATCTTTGATTGCGGGCTTGGCCGGGTACTGCTGGCATATTTTTATCACTCGCTCCGATAACGTGGCAGGCCATCCAGACTGCAGTGGCGGCCCCTTGCCGAGCTCTAGCGCCAGGTCAATTTCGGCCTTTGCATAGATTGAACAGTTGCTGATACTCTGGGACGTATCGGACAGGAAACTGCCGAGTCCATTGACGTAGGCCTCAAGAACCGCCCGACTGCCATCCATGGTGAAAGTCGCCTTTTGGCAAAACATCTCAACCCCGAGCCCGCCGCCGGGCACTTCGGTCACCAGCACGCTCACCTCGAACGGATTGTCCGCATCCTTGATGTCGTACGGGAAAAGCTCTATCTGGCACTCAGCGCCGAGTGGTTGATGGTGGGCAATCGAGGTCGCTGGGCGGTAGTTAAGGGCAACCTGAAACAGCGGCGTGCTGCCCGCCGGGCGCGGGGCCTTGACACTGTCGAGTATCTTGTCGAGGGGGACCGCGCCGTGCGCAAATGCGGAAAGCGCTTTGGAAGACGCGGTCCTAGCGACTTGTGCGAGGGTGGCTGTGCCTGGAAGGCGAGCCCGGATGGGCAACATGTTAACGAAGCAGCCCACCATTTGGGACGCGCGGGGGTCGTTGCGGTTGGCGTCGACTATGCCAATGCAGACATCTTCGATACCGGCCAGACGGGAAAGAATAACCTGCAGGACCGCAATGTGAAGGCTAAATGGGCTAATGCGGAGACTCTTGCAAGTGTTTCTGATGGCGTCGCCTTGTTCCCGGGGAAACTCCCGCAGTACTCGGTGCGTTCCGACGTTGGCTCGCTGGGGGGATGGCAAGCTCACAGGAAGCGATGGCAAAATGTCGGGGATCGTTTCAAACTCCATCTTCCAGAAGTTCAAAGACTCATCCCACACGCCATCGCGTTCCTGTTGCAGCTGCATCTCCGTCAGATCAAGGTGTGATCCAGCGGCAGCCTTGTCCAGCGGCAGCATCCGGTACGCCTTGTCCAAGTCCTTCAACAAGATAGACCAACTAATTGCATCCATTATAATATGGTGGTACCCAAAGAGCAGCGAGTATTCCTCCTCAGTACCTGGACGACTAAGCACCACGAGCTCCAGTGTCTCTCCACTCTCGATGCTCCACGCACGTGTCTTAAGTCTGCGCAGCTCTCTCTGCGTGCGCTCCTCATCGCAATCGGGCTCATGTCGCATCTGGAAACCGGAAGACGCCAGCAGTCCCTGCATCGGCTGTCCACTGCCCTCGTCGGTGTAAAAGCACATGCGCAGACACTCGTGGTGGCTGGTCACGGCCTGCATGGCGTGGCGGAGACGGACCATGCTCAGGTGGCCGCGGACGCGGTAGTGAAAGACCATGTTGTACGCGTCTGGCTCGGCCATGTGCTTGGACAAGAACCAGATGCGCGACTGGGCGGGTGACATTTGCGCCTCGCGCACTATGCTTGGACGCACCGTGTCTGCGTGACCGTCTGAGGGGAGGTCTTTGCGCGTGTTTCTCTCCTCTCCAGGATCTGAATTAAAATCGCTTGAGCTACTCACGGTGGAAGCGCTGTTGCCTTCGGAAAAATGGTGGCGGGAATCTTGCAAACTGTCGCCTACTTCAGAGACGCTGCTGCTCGGGGTAGGGTTTGACGTGGATTCGCCCCCGTCGGAGGCTGCAGGCGTCAATGATGATGTGCCTTGAGTGACTGCATCGACAGTTTTGACGTCTTGAGAAGTTCTACCTTTGCCAGCAGTGTCTGAACTCGCCTTGCTTATCTCATTCTGGAGCGGAGTTTTTGGCACTTGCTGTTGGCCGTCTTTCTTCGCACCTTGCCGCGCAAGCTTGGCCGCCAGAGTAGAGAGCTGTCCAATTGTGCTGCCGCCTAGTATCTTCATCACTGGCATATCAACACGCAGCTGTTTGAGGAACCAGGTACGGACCTCGACGGCCACCAACGAGTCGATGCCCAAGTCAGTCACGGGTCTCCCGGCACCGTCCTCCCCGATGCTGCCGGGCGCCAACAGCAGAACAGTCTCCAGTCTGCTAGCAAATGCCTGCTGAATGAATAAACCAGCCTCGTCATCTGTAGATGCTTCAATGACCTGCTGCGCTATACTACCTGACGAGGATACCGCTTGCTCAGAAGTAACCGCTTGGTCGGCCGATGCACTGTAGGGTACCATGTGACCGAGGCGAGGATCCGAAAGCCACAACGCCTTTCGTCGGCTTGAGTCTAGGGATTTTGTAGGTGGATCAATCCCCATGATGATGTTGTAGGAGCCAATCGGACTGCCCGGGCTACCTCCGCGTACAGCTTCAGCAAAAGCGTGGTGCACATCAGTCTCCGAGAGTGTCGTGGCTCGCATGACGTCTCGGTTGCTGTGCACTTTCGCGTCATCACCAAGACGGGCGACGTACCCAGTATCGCAAATGTAGCCAATGTGGATTATGGATGCTGCAAGACCTCTAGAGCGCCGTTGGGCGACTAGGCTGTCCATGTAGAGATTTGCGCAGTGGTAGTTTGACTGACCTATGTTGTTCGCGATAGTAGCGGTTGACCCCAGCAAGATGAAGAAGTCAAGAGCCTCCTCAGAGAAAATTGAGTCGAGGATTTCAGTGCCGTCTACCTTTGGACCGAGGGTGTTGTTTAAAATATCGACGTCCATATCCAGGAAGAGTTTGTCACACAAGACCATGGCAGCATTGCAAACACCGGCAATAGGCGGCATGGTAGCACGGATCATGCCGACAACTGCCTCAACAGAGCGCCTGTCGCAAACATCCATTGAAACGACTCGAACAGTGGCGCCGTATTGCTTCGCCTCGCTGAGCATGGTCGGGTCGCCTTTGGGGTTGCGGCTGGTGACGATGACATGTCGCGCACCATGGCGCACCATCCAACGACACAATGATGTACCTACTCCGCCTGCTGCACCTACCATGAGGTAGGTTCTGTCGCTCTGGAACAGGTCTTGGGTTTTGATGGGTGGCATTGTGAGCAAAGCAGAACCAAGGTTCTGCCAATTGGTGATGTAGACACTGTGTAATAGCGCCTGGCTGGGTTTACCAACAAGCTCTGTCGCGGGTAGAACGTCGATGCTGTCGTTTTGCCTAGAGCTATGATTCATCTGCGTCTTGGCATAGGAATAAGCCCCGTTAAGCACCGCTACAGAGCATTGTGACATTTCCAAAAAGAGGTTGGCGTCCAGCGGGCGTATTGTGCAAGAGGCGGGCAAGCAAGATGGGATGAGCCGACGCGCATCATCAGACTCGGTGGTACTAAGGCAATCAATGAATACCCCAACACCAAACGGCAGTATCTGGCTCATGGTCAATTTGTTGCATAGCGGATGGATCTTCAGCCAGCTCTCAGGAGTAGAAGTGCGCGAAGAGGCAAAGTGGACGTTCTTCTCACGTAGGCCATGTCTTGCCAAAATCAGCTCGGCAATCGTTTCATCGGCACCATAGATCAAAGCTGCCGATTTGTGTTGGCCTTTGCGCTCAAGCGCAAACTCAACGGCTTGCATTGAGAGGTGCTGGAAAATTCGCACGAGGATCTTTGGGGTTAAGTCGCTCTCTTCAATGAAGGAGACTGCTGCTGATGGAACATGGATTATCGACGCATTGATGGGAGACAGAGCAATTACAGAAATCGAGCTCGCGTCGGCTCCTTCTGCTGACTGTGTCCGACCGCAGATTAAGTATAAACTGGTGCCGTCCGATGACTGAGGGATGTGTAGGGTGGATTTGACTTGGATTTGGACTGTTGAATCAAGGTGCTTGCTGGAGCTGACTTGTCCGACCATCTCATCGACAGGTTGAAGCGAAACCTTGGCCGGCCCAGTCATGACTTGGATCGGGATGTAACTGGTGTCAACCCGCTTAGAAATTGTCCTTGCAGACGCATTATAAGTATCATTGAGAGATTTGTTCAACTTGACACGGGGAATCATAATAGCACCGTTCGAGAGAACATCGAGCTCGGACTCATGCGACCACAGAGCTTGCGGATTAGTGCCACCTGCGTCGTCGACATCGATGTTGGCCGCGTCGTGAGTATAATCAGACTGGAGTCGTATAAATGCCTCAAGTAAGCTTCTTGCGTTGCTGGAAGCCGATCCGACAGGCTCGATACCCACGATTTGAGTGTTAATCTGCGGGACCTCGCCCTTCATGACACGAGTGATGCCTCGGAACATGGTGGCTCTGGGAGTCATCGAGCTCGAGGTCTGGGCGCTTGTTACCCATAAGAGATTTTTCACCTTGATCAGTAGATTCTGAAGAATATCCAGGCGCTTCGAAGTCATCGGGGTGGTAAACAAAGCTTTGTCCAGCTCCTGCAGACAAATCACGTCCGAGCGGCCAGCGAGACCCTCAGCCATGAGGTTATCGATGCAGTCCACCAGACGCAGCCTCTGCCTCCACTGACGAGGTAGCAGCTTCTTCATTTCCTTGATAATTTTGAAAGTCGCAGGTGTTTGGCCTCCAATGATGAGCAACGGTTCTGGCGTCGGTGCAAGGCTCGCTATCTCGGAGAGCGGGGAGAGGCGTGCATAGAACATGTCGTCCACAGCCTGGCTCATAATCAAGGAAGTCTGCTGCTTTGGCTCTTCTGGTATATCATGCACGACGTGGTCTATTCCGGAGAACCGGGCCCTTTGGAGCTGCGCATCCCAGCCGCCGGGGGACATGAGCGGGCTGAGTTGACGATCCTCTTCCTCAGCGAGCCACCAGCCTTGGAGCCCACCAAAGTTAAACGTAGCGCGTAGACTCTCTGCGCCAGTCTTTTCATTGAGTAGCAGATAACCACCAGCCTTGAGCAACGATCGAACATTTCCTAGAGTAACCTCCAAGCTTCTGGTGGCGTGGAGGACATTGGCCGCGATGATGATGTCGTAGGAGCCGAGATCGAAGCCTTGCGTCGCGACGTCTTTCTCAACATCGAGGGCCTTGAATATCATTTTGTGCCGGAAGCTAGAGAACCGCTCCATAGCAGTCTCGAAAAAGCCAACTGAGAGGTCTGTGTACGTGTAGGTGTCAAAGGCGTCATCAAGAGCATTTAACACGGCGCTCGTCTAATGTGTGGATTTAGTACTTGTCGCACTCTTTTTTCGGTCGAGAAAAAATACTCACAGTAGCTCCAGTACCGGCACCAATTTCCAAGATGTTGCAACGAGGAAACTTGAACGTTATCTCATTCAATGCGCCGGCCAAGAAATGATTGACTTGCTGCATCCCTTTATCATCGGCGTAGAAGCGATCGAGCATATCGTCAACTCGCATGACCTCGAGCATGTGCTGCTCACCCTTAATTACACTGACCATATTTTTACCGACAGCGTGAAGCATCTGTAGTTCCACAGTATCCGGGTACGCTTCATCAATGGCGTGTATGGCAGCCCAGTCGTCGGAAAGCCACTCTCTGCGCAGATGAAGATGCGTATCATTCTTGACTTCAGTCAAGTGGTGGTCAAATGCTTGCAACATACGAGTGTGATACCAATTTGCCTGGTCTCTATCCTCCGCAGTGAGTTCACTCATGAGGCGCCGCACGTAGAACAAGCTGACTCGCTCACCGGCTTCAGCTAGACTCTGCACTGTGGCATCGGCATCCTCATGTCGGACAGGCTCGGATAGCCCCATGATAGAAACATCTGGACCCCATACTGTCTCGGAGAAGATGAGGCGATCTTTGGAGGCGTCCGTCTCACCGACTGTTCTCACTTCAAACCCTTGTACTTGGAGGAGCGGCGTTCCTGTGTCTGCATCGTACACGTTGAGATCGCCGGTCAGAGATGTCGCAGTCTGGTTCAGAATCCAAGAGTCAACGTCTGCATTGATAGCCCCATCTGCACTTGACTTTGAGTGGATGGCGGATGTCGGTACGACTCGGACGCGCTCGATACGGGATGGAAGCAGCGCCGAGTTGACCTGACCACTGTCGGGATGTGCCCGGGCAATGAAGATGGTCTGGAAAGCAACGTCTAAAATGGCGGGATGTATGGTGTAGCAGTCGTTGAGTTCCCTGCGATCCCAGGAAGCGAAGGCTGTTGCGTGCCGAAACTGACGCTTGCTGCGGGTGATGCGCCGAAACACGCCTGAGTATTCCAGGCCAATAGTACCAAACAAGGAATATAGCTTCTCGCAGTCAATCTCCTGCAAATCGGAGCTGGAGGGTACTCTTTGTGGCAACTGCATGCTATTTTCATATTCCACTTGGGAACCTAACCGAGAACCGAGGTGAATAGCAATGAGTCCCTCGCATGTATGAAGAATGGATGAGCTAGCAGCATTGTTGAAGATGTAGAACGAAAAAGATGCCCTGAGTAGTCCGTCGGCACTAGTGTCGTTGGGGAGATTTTCTTCGAGAATCCGTATCGTGAATAATGTTTCGGTTCCTTCCTTACTGTCTGAAACGACAACAGGGCGATAAATGTCGACATTGGAAACCTCGAGCAGGCGGACGTCCTTTCCTCTATCGACCGCGAGACGGCTCCCTGCCTCGATTGCCATGCTAATGTACGCTGCACCGGGTAGTAAGACTTCTCCAAGAATTGTGTGGCCTTGGGTCCAAGGAAGCTCGCTAATCTTGAGCAAGTTGCGCCAGCGAATCTCGCGGTCGTTGTCGTCGGGGGTGCGACGGCCGAGCAACTCATGGCTGCCGTCCTTGCCGGTACGATAACGTCGCGAAATGCGAGACTCGCGCCAAAAGGTTTCCTCGTGGTCCCACGGGTACGAAGGTAGATCGTGGACGAAGGTAGGTGCCAGAGCATGGTGGTCCTTGTGCTCACTAGAGACGACGGAATGGTAGCCGGAAAGGTCGACAAACGATGGCCCAAGGTGCGCCCATATGCTGCCAATAGCCGTGGAAAAGGCGAGCCCGTCGTGCGCTCCACGCTTGAGAAGACCCGTGTAAGGGGGCGTAGATCCAAAGGCAGCCTTCAAGGTTTGTTCGGTCGGACCCTTGAGAGCCGGGTGCGGACCAACCTCGACGACCAAATCAAAAGGGCCGCCATGCCAAATTGACGATTCAACAGCACGAGAGAAGAGCACTGTTTGAACCATATTAGCAACCCAGTATGGCCCTTTTAGACTGTCCAGGTTTCTATCTTTACGTAGAAGCTCAGCGTCTCCTCGCACGCTCGAGCTCCAAATGCACTTCCCAGGGGTAGGCGTGAGTATTTGGATATCACAAGCAATGAGTGACTTCAAGTACGGCTGAGCGCACGGAATCATGTGATGAGAGTGGTATGCAGTGTCCACTTTGAGCTCTCTCGCAAAGACGCCATCACCGGTGAGCATAGTCATGGCTTCTGCAATTGCCTCCTTGTCGCCAGAGAGTGTGACGCTTTGCGGAGCGTTGCTGGCGGCGACTTGGATGCGGCCGTCAAACTCAGGCCGACGGCAGACTTGCACGGCATCCTTCATGGAAAGCCCGACGGCCATCATACCGCCTGCTTGTCCAGAGGTTCCTCGGGCGAGCTTGGCATGAAAGCCGCGATAATACGCAATCTGCATAGCACCCTGCAGAGTGATGATGCCACTCGCGTACGTGGCTGCGATTTCTCCCGACGAATGGCCAATTACGGCGTCAAAATGGACTCCCGAGGCCCTGAGAACATTGACGAGCGCTAACTGCACGGCCGTGCATAGGGGTTGCGAAATCTCTGCTTCGGTAATTCGAGACGTGGATGCTGCCTTGGTCAATTCTCCGTACAGCGACCAAGAAGGTGCGTCTTCCAAAGGAAGGGCCTGCAACACCGCCTCACATTCGGCAATGGTCTCTCTGAAAACTGGCGACTGTCTCATCATATGACATCCCATGGCCGGCCACTGCGCGCCCTGACCGGTGAATACCCCAAGAACACCTGGCACTTCCTTAGGGTCGATGAGCAGCGGCGAGTAGCCGATGCGATTCTGTGACGCAGCGGATTCAGCGTGAGCGCTATGCGTCTTGACAAAAGCTTCCATATTTTCGAGAGTTTCCGCACGAGTGATTCCCGAGAAGTGAGCCCGGACTCTGTGTGTCGATCGCCTTGAGTGTAGAAAGGTGCTCAAGTCAGCCAGACAAAGCGCGGGATGCTGCCTCAGATGGCGTGCGTAGGCATCTACGGTCCGCCACAACGCAGCTCCGGTCCTTGCTGTAAGAAGTATTGGAACTGATATATCAACATCATAGCTTTTCTGTCTCTCTTTGGGGGTTTCTAGTATTGAGGTGGTCCTTTGTTGCTGTGCGGCGTAGCTTTGGCTAGCATCGTAGCGTTCAATAATCGCATGAGCATTGGTTCCTCCAAACCCGAAGCTATTTACACTGGCACGCAAAGGAACTCCAGGACGTAGTTCGGGCCTGAGGTATTAAAGTCAATTTTTGCAGAATATAACAGGGCCACCAAGACGACCTGTCAGAGGGAGAGGCGTAGGACAGACTTACCAGGGTATCGATGTCGTGGGGATTTGCAACGGACCATAATAGCGATCTATGTCTGGGTTGAGTTCTTCAAACAGAAGGTTAGGTGGTATCACGCCATGTTTCAGGCTCAGAAGCACCTTGAGAACACCAGCGAGGCCCGCGCACCCTTCCAAGTGCCCAACGACAGTCTTGATCGAGCCCACATACAGCGGATCATCCACCGTGGGTGCCCCCTTGTTGGTATGGCCAGTGACAAATGCATCACTAATGGCTCGCGCCTCGACGGGGTCTCCAGCCTTTGTGCCCGTGCCATGGCATTCAAAAAACTGCGGTCGGTCCATGACCGGGTCAAGACCAGCCTTCAGATATGTCTGGCGAATTAGCGCAGTCTGCGCCGCCGCCGACGGCATAGTCAACCCAGAACTGAGTCCGTCCGAGTTGACATATGTGCTGCGAACAACACCCTCAATATGATCACCGTCCCGGAGCGCATCACGCAGGGTTTTCAGCACGACGGCTGACGCGCCCTCACCACGCGCGTAACCATTCGCCGCTTTATCCCACATGCGCGACCTCGAGTCCGGCGAGAGCATGTGCAGCTTGGACTCGAAGATGAACGGATCCGGGTCTAGGATGAGATTGACGCCCGCGACAATGGCCTTTTCGCAGTCGCCGCTCTGCAGCGCGCGCGCGGCGTTGTGCAGCGCGACCAGCGAGCTGGAGCACGCCGTGTCAATCGTCTCAGACACGCCGCGGAGGTCAAAAATGTACGAGATGCGGTTGGAAATGATGCTGCTGGCCACGCCCGTGGCGGTATACTGCGGCATTGTCTCGGGGTCGCGCCGCTGCATGTGCGCCCAGTCGGTCGTCATGACGCCGACGTGGACCGACGTGAGCGAGCCGCGAAGTTTGTCCAGCGGAATGCCGGCGGTCTCAGTCGATTCGTAGACGACCTCGAGGAGCATGCGCTGCTGGGGGTCCATGCCGGCGGCCTCGAGTGGGCTGATGCCGAAAAAGGCAGCATCGAAGCGACTAATGTCTTCGTCGAGGGTGTAGGCCTTGTTGGCGACATCGGTCGACCCGTGGCTCTCGCCATTGGGGTTGTAATAGCGCTTCAAGTTGAGACGGTCAGGGTTGAGTTCCTTCAGAATGTCGCGCGGTTGTCGGAGCAGATCCCAGAGCTTGGAGGGGGCATTGCATCCACCGGGGAAGCGACATGCAGATCCGATAATGGCGACTGGCTCTGGGATGCGGCGCGGCAGTGCTTGTTGATTGGTCTGAGACATGATGACTTTTCCTGTAGGTCAAGACTAAGGGCTTCTTTGCTTCTCACTGATTAAAACACTTTTTTTTTTGTAGCGGTGAGTTAGTGAAGCTCGTTTATTTCTTGCTGAATGGAAACAAGTAGAGAGCGTAAGTGGCAACATGGACGAGGTACAGAGAAGACAACATACTTCGTCCCATCTGAAATGACGCCAACACACTTTGTATAGTAGAAATTATCTTTCATTCAAACTCGACTGGTCGGCTAGTTTACCAACTGGGTACATACTCCGTGCCTGTACGCGGCTGTCGACAGGTTCGGCTCCGTCGTCCTTGCACACCATTGTCATCGGGGTGAGACGTTAGAACAAGGCTGAAGCCTATCAATTTTCCGAAAGGGTGGACTAAAGCCAAATCATGTCGTTCCGGTATAATGCACCATGCAGGTCGTATTTCTCTAATAATGCATGTCAGCAGAGCGTTGGATTTTCCGCTCCGAGCCTTGTCCGGCGCTTGTGAGCCCGGGGTCGAGCCAGGGTCTGGACAAAGTGTCACTTTATGGAACCATGTTGATGGAAACAAGTATAGAGTCCGTTGCTGGAGCCAAGTAGTTTGAGCGTACTAAGCTCCAAGCTACGAAACGGCCACTACAGTTCACAGCATGACGACCATCTCAAGTCTGCCACGTACTCAGCGAGCTCTGAAGGTAGCGAAGTCCAATACCTTTGATCTCATAACAAATGCTCCTGTCCCTGCTTTCGACGACAATGACACAGTCTTGATCCGAGTCGTCCACGTTGCCATCAACCCGGTGGATGGCAAGGCGGCAGACCTGTCACCCACGCCTGGCGCGACCAGCGGAACTGACTTTGCCGGCATCGTGGTCGCCTTACAGACAGATGCACATGACAATACCGACAAATCCCAAAGTACACTCAAGATTGGCGACCGCGTGATGGGTTTTGTATTTGGCAACAACCCGCAGATTCGCGACAATGGCGCCTTTGCTGAATATGTCGCCGTGTCCAGGCGGTTTCTTTGGTGTGTGCCAACTCACATGTCGCTGGAAGCGGCAGCCTCACTCCCGGTCGGAATAGCTTCAGTTGGTCTGGCACTGCACTATTTGCATATTTCGATGCAGCTTTTGCGCGAGGAAGCTTTAAAATCTGTTGCGGCTGCATCAAAGTCTCGCGACCGTCACGGCACTTTCGACCGCTGTGACAATATCTTTGTCCTAGTATATGGAGGAGGCACGTCAACCGGCGCGATTGCTATCCAAGTCCTCAAAGCTAGCGGTTTTACTCCCATCGCTTGTTGCTCATTGGAATCCGCCGGCCGAGCCAAGCACCTCGGCGCAGCCGCCACCTTCGACTACCAATCAGCAACATGTGGCAGAGACATTCGCGAATACACAAACGACTCCCTCACTTACGCCATTGACTGTATCAGCGAGTCTACCTCTATGAGCCTATGCTATGAAGCTATTGGAAGTACGGGCGGGCGCTACGTCTCGCTAGATCCGTTTCCAATCCGGGGCTGTGTCCGTCGCAGCATTGTGCCAGCCTGGATATGTTCCTATACGCAGTTTGGGCAGCCTATCTCATGGAACCCTCCCTACAATTTGGATGAGAGACCCGGCGATGTTCGTGCTGCTGCAGAGTGGTATAGTCTGGCACAGAAACTCTTGGATGCCGGCTTGATTGAAGCGCCGTGTCTAGAGAACAGGGCTGGCGGGCTTTCCTCTTTACGGGAAGGAATAAATGAAGTGAGAATGGGTCAAATTAAGGGTAGGAAATTGATTTATAGAATTTCCGAGGAACTATATGCTGCGGGCTAATATACCGACACAATGGACACACGTGTGGTGACAACAGCGGTAGTCTGAGCATCCCCAACTGCCGCAACTTTAAAATTATTTCTCGCAGATATCAACTTCATAAATCTTTACTCATTTCTTTCGATAGAATACAGCTGGTACATATTTAATTTTATTCTAGCTCCAAAACGAAATAGGCGAAGTCCAATTACCAAGTCACCAGCTTATCCTGTCCAACGTTGCACAGGTTACACGTTGTGCACTTGCTTACTATCCGAGCCTCCTTTCTCGTCACAACTTGCGGGATGGCGTCGGGACTACCTCGCTCGAGGCATCGCCGGCTGCAACTCTGAAAAGCCCAAATGAGCCGTTGTCCGGCCTCGTTATTCCGGTGGCGCCCACAATTCTCCGCGAGGCTGCAGAATATCCCGAGCACGCATTGAGGCGAGATGCTCTTCCGCCTTCATGACCTTGATGGACGCAGGCCTGCATCCAGTCTTCTTTCATCGCTTCTATTGTCTTGACTTTGAAAGGCCATTGGAGTGTACTCTGCCCATTGCATTTTACAGAACCGCTGCCAACGCGTATGGCGCTGTTTGTGGCTGCATCCGCGGCGGCCCGTCTCGGCTACTACGAGAAATTGACCTTTGTCTTGGGAGTCATTGGCATTCTCCTCGTGGCTTGGAAACTCGCACAGAGGCCATTCTATCCTGACGTGCCACTGGCAGGAGAGCCGCCACAGCGACGATGGTTTTCCCTTTCCAACAGGTTAAGATACTACAACGACTGCGCGTCTCTGTTCAATGAGGCATACCACACAGCAAGTCTTTGAAATGCTTACAAACCTACATTCGGGCAATACAATTGATACTTCATAGTATTCCAAGCATGGCAAGGCTGTTCTTGTCCCGTCCGTCGGAGTGCACACAGCCATGATCATGCCAGAGAGCGCCATGAACTGGGCCATGTCACAACCCGACGACACGCTCAGCATCATCCACGCCTTCTCCGAGTTGAACCAGACCAAGTATAGCCTCGGCAACAGCCGATACTGGAGCGACCCGTGGCAGCTCAGCCTTGTCAAGGCGCATCTCAGCTCCATCCTACCCAGTCTCATTCCACAGCTCAACGAGGAGCTTGCCGACGCCCTTCCAAAGCACCTGGGGACTGATACCGAGAACTGGAAGGAGATTGAGCTCGAGCGCACGTTGAGAAAAGTAATTTCACAAATGTTGAGTCGATTTATTGTCGGTTCTGGACTATGCCGCGACGAAACTTATCTCGGCCTCGCGTACAAGGTCATTTTGGGCATGATGACAACCATCTGGGCCACCCTGCCATATCCCGAATTCATGCGCAGCATCACTGGACCAATTTCCAGTTGGCATACACAGCGTAATATCTCCAGAATTCAAGAGCTTCTAAAGCCCCTGTACAATGAGCGGCTCTCCACCCTGCAAAACAAGGGTCGTTCCGACGGTGAGCAGCAGCCACAGGATCTCTTGATGATGATGATGCGCTTTGCACAAAAAAAGAGACCCAACGAGCTCGCCAACCTCAGCATCATCACGCGGCGGGTATGCGCGGCCAATTTTGTCGCCATGCACCAGTCCACCATTGTCGCGACCAACATCATCCTCAACACTGTCGGCTCCGATGCCGCGTTCAATACAATCGCCACGCTCCGCGACGAGATCACAAACGTCCTCGGCGGCACAGACAGCGCGGGCTGGTCCAAAGAGCGCTTCTCGCAAATGACCAAGACCGACAGCGTCGCACGCGAGTCGATGCGCCTCAACTTTCCCCTGGGCACGCGCGGCTCCATGCGCACCGTCATGAAGGACGGCCTTCAGAGCCCCGAGGGCATCCGGCTCCAAAAGGGAACCACCATTTCCTGGCTGGCATCGTGCGCCCAGGTAGATGCGGACCGCTTTGAGGAGCCGCACAAGTTTGACCCGTTTCGTTTCTCGCGGCCACTCAAGGAAGGTGAGGGGCCTAAGGATGCTTTTGTGACGACGTCGCCCCAGTACCTGCCTTTTGGCCACGGCAAACATGCTTGTCCGGGCCGATTCATGGTCGATGATATGTTTAAAATGATTTTGGCTCATCTTTTGACGCACTATGACCTCGCTTGGCCGGCTGAGTATCAGGGCAAGCAGCCACCGAGTATTTGGCAGGCAGAATTGTCCGTGCCTCCGCCCAGAGCCCGGATATTAGTGAAGCGACGCAAGATATAGTGAATTGAAATAATAGTTGTTCTAGCAATTTGGAAAAAAAAAATCCCAGGGACGGCCGCGTGTGTAGCTGTGCGAGCTCATCCTTTTTGTGAACTCGTTGTTGGTGCCATTTCCTCCGTGTTGGGATCTTGATGAAGATACAATTTCTCGATAAAGAAGGTTTCAGGGTAGTAGAATATATATTGATTAATTTCCTGCATTTCTGATAATACTGTATTGTCAAACTTATTAAAACACATTTTAGCTAAAAATGACTGCCATCGCAGCTATCCATTACACTCAAGTTACAACATAGAATCCGCCTGAACGCTACTTATAAAACGCAATCTTGACCCCGTGCAAACTGGAGGGACCAATGCGCATTCTCGCCGTGTATGGCTCCGGATCCCGCGCCACGATGCTGCTATACTTTTGCGCCAACCGACAAAGCATGTAGGCACTCTCATTCTGGACCATCATCTGTGCTGGGCATCGTCTCGGCCCACCACCATATGGTAGAAAGTGCCATCCGCCTCGCATGCCGTCCCAGCGCTCTGGCCGATATTCATTGGCGTCTGGACCCCACTGATCCGGGTCGCGATACATGACCGTCTTTGTCACCGACACAATGTCGCCTTTACGAATATCGAGGGGCGCTTTGCCGTCTGGTCCGCCGCCGATGGGCAGCACCACATCAGCAAGGGCGGCTCGGATTTGAGTGACATTGTTAGGCGTCAGCCGGTGCGCTATTATGTGGTGTCAGTACCAAGCTCTGAGAATATCAGGAGTGAGGTTCATACTCTCGTTCAAGATGCCATTCAAGTACTTCATGTTGCGCAGCATCTCGAAAGTAACGGGCGCTTCGCCAATCGATGTCACTTCGTCCCTCAGCTTCTTCCACGCATCTGGGTTGCGGGCGAGGTGATAAAGGCAATGTCCAATAAATATGGATGTCGTGTCATTGTTTGGGACAAAGATGAGGCAGACCTGAGACCTCAACTCTTCTTCGTTGGGTAGCATCGTTGCCATGGTCCAGAGTAAATCTGTGCGCTCCTCGCCAACTGCAAGGCCATCTTTGATGCGCTGCTGTCGCTCCTCGAGTTCTTTGAGAGTAGATCGAATATACGGGTTCAAGAAAGCGTGGACCTTTGTAACAGCCTCGAACCACCAATCCCATTTAAAGGCCCACAGGATTTTGTAAGTCTGGGCTCGTTGACGACCGCCTCGGAGAACATCTGCCATGGCCCAGGTGACCTCGGCGCGGTCGGCATGCGTCATGGAGTCTTGCGACTTGCCAAAAATAAACTCGGACGTGATATCAAGGAACTGGGTGTATGCCGCCCTGTGTCAATATGTTTACAGTAGTGTAGGTTGATGGTTCACGTACCCATCGCTGAAGCAGAGGTTGGATGTCAAACGTTTCCCCATCCTCAGGTATGAGCGACAAAAACTTGTCGGCAAATGGCCTGATGCGGTCGGTACTGATGTAAACACTTCGTTCAAAGAATGGCTTAATCAGAGTCCGACTAAACGCCCAGTCCTGGCCGTCGCTGGTGCTGACTCCCTTGTCGGCAAAGGGCTTGAAGCCGGGGGGATGTTGCCTGATGGGTTCCACGCCAAATTCTTGAAAGTTGGTAGCGTACACAGCTTTGAGAATCTCTGGTTCCGTAGAGTAGATCCAGCGGTGCCCGACAAACTTGACGGAAAAGGTCTTGGTATGGGGCATGCTGGCGTGGAGGTCACGCAGCCATTCGAGGTAGCGATTTTGCTGCAAGGCCCTTCCCTGACTGATTGGAATGTCGATTCCAAAAATTGGATCCCATTGAAATGCACGCGGTTCAGGCAGGCAGCCTTTCACCAGGGGTTTGCGCTCTTTCGCAACATATTGCGAGAATCTCATGAACAGCAGGGCAGAGAGACATGCCGACAGGATGAGGTAGGGGAGGCTCACGCTATCCAGAGCGGTAAACATTGTTTACGAGAGATGCAGAAGTCAGAAATTGGAATTTTTTCTTGACCGGGGACTTGATGCAAAAGATCAAGACATGTCTCTAATTGATAAGGCAGGCACAAGTGATGTGCATCGCCATGGCGGCTTGGGTGCCGGGAAGCAACATGATACCAACACCTTGGCTTGGAAATTTCCGGCACTACTGAGGCCTTTTCGGAGATGTGTGCTACGAAACGAAATATTCAACCAGGGCTCGGCCGGATATTTCCCTTACAGGCAGCTCCCAAAATGCCCCGGGATTTACTAGGCTGACGCGGACATAACTATTACGAAATCTCCAATTGGCCAAATAATTATCAGATATGGGGCTCATGTTTCTAGAACTGATAATGGTGAATTGTCATCTGTGGATGGATCCTTCACACCCTTCTTTCCGAGCGCTGACGCCGAGAACACAAGTCGTATATAATGCGGCTGGTTTCCTAACGTGGCAGTATGCAGCTGACGGGCGCTCGAAGAATAAGTAGCTGGGGGGAGACCTGCCCACGACCATTGGTTAGATTCGATTTTTATATTGAAACAAGTCGTTAGCATGAAAGCCATAAACACAGCCACGGCTGACGTCTTGGCAATAGGGTAGACTCGGCTGCCAGCCCTGCTAGGGCGAGCCGTCGCTGGGCAGTGGCGACAACGTTGCACGGCACGATCCTCCGAGAGACAAGTCCAACGGCGCAGAGAAGGCCGTCAACCCTACCATATGTAGTGTGGCAGTCGTGTATCTGATGTCGTGACCGTGTTGGGGGCTAGATTTCCACCATCATGGCGAGTTCCTGGGCACGCGCCCCGAGCCTCGGACGCTCAATTACAACAATGTGTCGTAAAAATGACGAGCAAGCTCAAGGCTCGCGTCTGCAGCTGCAGCCACGTCTCGGGAGGAAAGCATCGGGAGCATTTCCGGCATTACCTGCGCACGACCTTTGTGGTACGACTCCCCGGTATCGTCTGAAAGGATGCGGTCCAGTACCCGTACCCTCCATAGTGCTGCCAGTGGTGCCCTTGGCAGGCTCGGCAGCTGGGAACGACAGGCATGGCCGGTCGATGCCTATTCGCAAGGCTACTAGCCCGCCCCCAACGCTCGCTCTGGATGCCCAGACGTAGGCAAACAGGCTACTGCTGTCGTCCGTCGTGGGGGACCGGGCTGACCAGCCAGCTGCTTGAGGCTGAGGGGCAGTGGAGGGTAGAATGAGGACTGCAAAGCATTTATATACATTGGAGCTTTCTCAAAAGGCCGAGTGCGTGTTGTAGTTCTCAGTACGAACCATGTACGGGTAGCAAGTCGTACGTAGAGTACACGCAATCATGGAGCCAGGTCCAGTCCATAGACGACGTCGGCCTGCCGTGGCCTGCAGCGAGTGCCGTCGCCGGAAAATCCGATGCGACCGTGGTTTTCCGTGCGGACCGTGCCGAAAGTCCCTCCCCGTGCTCGCCTGCATCTATCACAGCCAACCGACACAGCGCACAGCCTCTGCACTGCCGCACTCACGCCGTACCCAGCAGCAGCAGCAGCAGCAGCAGCAGCATCACCCGCCAAGGCCTAAGCAGAGTACGCGCAATGTTGCGCTCGCCAAGATCAACTCGCTTGCTTTTGATCCAGATGCCTTTCCTGGCATTGGCCAGATTGGCCTTGACTGGCCATCCAGCTGGCAGCAGCAGCATGGTGTCCCGCCGTCTCCGAGTGTACTCTTGGCGGAGGCGGAGGCAGCGGCGGCGGCGGCCGACTACTTTCAAAGTCCGGATTTCTCTCTGCTCGATGATTCTAGCCATAAAGGAGCAGATGCTTCTCTGATGGAGCATACATACGCCGGTTCGCCGGAAACGACGGGGCACAGCTCAGTTTGCCCTTCGATGGATGGCGGTCCAGGATATGGCGATGATCGCTGGTGCGCAACATTGGCGCAAGTGGTAAAAATGACGTTCCTTGTCCAGGGCATGACGAGAAGACAGGATTTTCTTGAGAATCAGCCGGCACCACCAGAGAATCGTCAAGCGGACGGTGGTGGTGGTGATGGTCTTTGGGTCCCGCCATTGGCAGACGTCGTCCTCCAACTGGAAAGCCAAGCCCGATTACAAAAGGAACAGAATGATGCGCAAAGCTTCGCTCGGCTATCACCACTTTTGAAAAGTTCATCCAATATACAGCAACTATTGCCTCCTCGCCCGGTATGCAAAAAGCTCGTCAGCGCATACTTTGAGACCTTTGGCTCTGTCCTCTGTATCCTCGACACGACCGCATTCTTCAACGACCTGGACCGTTTCTGGCAAGCAGGCGAGGGGTCGCGACCATCCACCCGAGACCACGACGGAGCCCTCAGTGAGGCCTTTTCGCACAAATTGCTCGTCGTCGTTGCTCTCGGTTCCGTCACTGCTCGCCCTTGCGGGACCGGAGGCGAAGCAGAGCGGACTCGGCAGACGAACAGGCGCAACCACGCCATCGTATGCGTGCAGCACACGCGGCAGTGGTTGGCGCAGAAGACGGCACGCGGGATCCGCGCCGACCTGGATATCGCCCAGATATTGTGTCTGCTGGCGCTTGCACGGCTGACGCAGCTGCACACGGATCCCTGGCCGCGCCGGTCCAGTACGGATGGGGCCGTCATACTCACGGGCGACCACGACCTGGCACGTCTAGGCATGCAGATGGGACTGCATCGAGAGCCACCAAGACTGTCCGTCGTGGCCCCCGCCAAAAAAGCCGAGGCCGAGATGCGCAGACGACTGTGGGCGACGATGCTCGAGCTCTCGCTGCACCAGTATCTGGACGCCGAGCTTCCCCCCCTTGTAAGTGCGGAAAGCTACGATTGTGCGGCGCCTTCCCCTGTCGAGCTGGAAGAGGATGCGAGATCATATCTAGCGCCGCATGACCAACGCGTGCCGGCGGCAACTATACTCGCTGTGCTGTCGCGGACGCAGCGGCTCCGTCTCCAGATTCTCCAACACCTCCATTCTCCGGGAGCAAGCAGCAGCTACAAGGAGAGTAACCGCTTTGCCGCAGATTTGATCAAAGTTTGCAACGCCGAGACGAACCATCTTTTGTTTTCGGGAATGGCGAAGCCTAGCAGTTTCCAGCTGTGGCTGCTCAACATACTCACACGACCATTTCTACTTGCGCTCAACGCCCATTTCGCCGGCGAAATGGAGACGGATTTCGCCAGCTTCCACTTTCGCAGGATGAGAATGGAAACTGCCATTGTGATTCTTCGTCCCAGCCCGCACGACGACGAGCCTAGCCTGGCGCCGTCACAGACTAGGATCCACGCCGGCTGGGCAGGGTCACGAAGCAAGACAGCAACATCGACATACCCATTTCTTCCGACTCCAGGCACGGTCGAGCCCATCACTAACAATGAACAGCGCAACGGCCTTCACGACGCGGCATCCACCGCCCTGTGCGTCGGCGGACCTAGTTACTTCGCGGTGGTGCATAGACAGGTCCTCGCGACTCTCTGCGCTGATGTCATTACCGAGATCCAAGACGGCTTGTTCCCGACTCTCGACGCAGCGATGCTTCACAGCGCGGTGGCTATTGTAGGAGATGCAGCGAATAAATACCGGGACCAAGTGTGCACCTCTGGCGGAGTCGACGCATGTCGCGAATCGATTATGTTCGCGGCCGCGCATGGCCTGGCTCTAGCCTTGCTTCATCGATGCAGCACGCTTGAGGTGGACAAGTCCATCATGTCATCTGTGTGGACGGCTCTGCATCACTGCTGCAGAGCCATGGGAGAGCCAGCACAAGGGATCCTCGAGATGGAGTGGGACATGGGCGAAATGGAAACTACAGATAAATCAATGCCCACGGGCGGAAACGTCGACGTCGGTGCGACTGGTCAAGCGGACGCGCAGTCGCACTTCGTATTGGAGCAGCAAGATGACGCCCCGAGGCTTGATCTGTCAGCCGTTGATACGGAAATTGCGGAAATATGGGCTATTGATGATGATGAGTCGTATTTTTCGATAGATATCACGTTATGAAAGAATCGCTTCTTGTTCTCTTTCTTGCTTGAGCAGTAATTCCTCTCTATCAGACTTGAGAGACTCATCGTGAGTTGAAACTGTGACATAAGCTATAGCGATTGCGAAGGTTCGAATCATGGGGGCTTGTGCCCTTCACATGGATACTGCTTTGTGCGACATAATGCTAGGTAGTAAATCACGTCGGTGTCAACTCTTGTAGGTCAGAATTTGTACGCACTATATAAAGACAAATCATCATTCATTAGGCAACATCGTCCATCTATCGTGAATCCATGTACACAAGGCAGCCTCGTTCACTGCGACTGCGCCTTGGCCGTCAAGTTTTGCGTCTTTTCAATCTTGGGCACGGCGCCGAACCGTTGGTTGCCCTGGTCCCAGATGGCATAGACTGACTTGAGGAACGCGTCGCCCAAGATATCAAACGGGTTGCTGCCGCGCGACTGCACGCCGCCGTACCAGTTCTTATCATCCGCCTGCGCAAAGGCCAGATCCTCGGCCTGGATAAAAAAACAAGGTATCGCCGACCGCGACCTCGAACGCAGGTAGGTCCTCGGGCTTTGTCGTGAGCGGAAAGACGTAGCCCTGCTGCTGCGCGTCGTACTTGGCGCCGGGGATCGCCTTGTAGAGCGCGTCGCAGACCTCATCGGAGACGAGCGCCAGCGTGGTGCCTGTGTCGGCAATGGCTGTGTTTCCATCCAGCGCTAGCTTCTTGCCCGCAATCGAGACGCTCGCCGATGGGAACATCCAGAAGCCCTCGGAGCTGTCAATTTTTGTCCAGGCAATGTCCTTGCCCGAGGCTTTGACCAGGGCCTCATCGACGTAGCCAAAGGTGTAAAAGGACTGCGGCCCATCAGCGTCGCGCTCGCTGTAGAAGGCCGAGGTGAAGAGCTGCGACTGCTTGGGTATGTCGCCTTGTGTCATCATGTTGGCGACGGGCGTCTGCGCGGGCGCCGGCTGGCCGTTCTTTTTGACCGTGTTGATGGCGGGAAACGCCAAGCCGAGGAGGCCGTCGCCGGTGCCCTGGGCGAACTGGGCCGCGAGTTTGGAAGCGAGCTCCACGGTCTGGCCCTCGATGGTGAGGCCGCCAATGGTGACATTGTCGCTGCCACAGTCGCCCGAGGCGGAGCTGCCGTCGCCGTAGGAGATCTGCCACGTCTGCCCGGGCAGCTTCTTAAAGGTCGATGACTTAGACGGGTTAAAGATGGTGTGACCCTTCTGGGTAGCTTTGCTCAGTTCAGTGGAAAAGATCTACACTTGGTTAGCGCTCAACATTAGAGCTTTCGTCATAGGAGGGGTGTGTACCCAGAGGTCCGAGGAACCCGTGTCGAAGTCGAGAAGCACCTTTTGCGGCGGTGTGCCGATGGAGACCTCGCACAGGTACTCGGAGTCGTTTTGCTGGTCCTCGGCTGTGACCTCGCCCGTCTGCGTGCCCGCTGCGTCGAGGGTCTTGGCTAGGCGTGAGGTAACGGCTGCACGGCCGCCGACGGCGACGTGGGACTGCGCGAGGCCGCGCTGCTGCAGGTGGCTCACGCGCCGGTACGGACCGGGCTTGGTAGGCTCGAAACCGAAGCGGTTCAGCAGGTACACGTACGACTTGGTGCCATGTCGCTTGTAGTTTTGGTTGGGCTTGGCCCGGACCTTGGTGAGCCCGGGTGAGGCTTGAAACTTGGCCTGTGCCTGGAAGAATGCCTCCATGATGTATATCTTGTTATGGGGTTGAGGAGTTGTGTATAAAATTTGGAGGGTGACAGTGACGCTGGAACCTGGAGAACGAGGGAGGTTGGGGTCTTATACACGACTGTTGGACGACTGACCTGGCGACTCATACGCTGGCATTGGGCACTTTGGTATGGGATGACGCAAGCGAGTAGTAGATCGCTGGTAGAATAATGTTCAAAATCCATCTTAGCTCCAGATGAGTGGTTATCGCACAACTCTATCGTGCATTCGCACACCACACACCTCTCCACGTTGGCGACACTCGCAGCGACACACTGCTGCGTAAGTGTCACTACTGACGTCAGACACTTATCGTAATGTGGCCGGCACATCCAAGAATCTACCTGATTGCCGTCGTGGCTAGGCCTGCAAGTCCGCTAAACGGAGCATCACCTGTTCTCCCCAGGCCTCGCGTAATCTGTGAATTCCTGGCTTTCAGCTGTTCTCTCCAAGTGGCGCACCTATCTATGTGCCGCGTTGCCGTGCGGGTACGGCGACGTTGGTGGATCGGCGGCGTCGCAACGTGCCGCAACCCTGGTGATAAGTTTATTAGTTGGGCAGTCATACTTGGTAGACCAGTTAGTTGCTTGCTTTGTTGTACAGCAAGTGCTTGTGTGATTGCAACATGTCTGAGTTGAGGAAGCATATTTCCAGCTCACAGGGGCCGCGACCATCGATCGGGAGCGCCCGCTGCATTGTGCGACAAAGTTATAACTAGTCGTGCAGGCCTCGCAACTTCTTTTCCGTATAAGATACGCCAAGAAAGCTTGTCATTCTTGCGCATGGCCATTGGCAAACAACGTTTAGAGAATAGTCGAGACGGTAGATCTGCAAGTCAGATCTTCTGCGATCGGGTGGCTTGGCTTCTTGGCTGTCGCGCTCCAGCTGAGTTACCCTAGTTTGGTTCGAAGAACAATGCACGGTTATAACCAACACTATCAACGATTTCCAGACGCGTCCCTGACCGGAATCGAGGGATTTCCGATGCCACAAGGAACCGCGTTCTTTTGGAGGGAAAATGGTTGAAGACATATAAGACGGCTCAAGCGATAATGGAATTTCCATCGTGTCCGAAGCCGACGCGCTCTGATCTGCTCCGGCTAAGTTAATGCAAGCCGGGAGCCACTGAAACAGGCAGCCTAACTACAGTACCCATGAATGCATGGAGTGCAAGTAAACAGCAAGAAGTTTGTGGCGATGGTAAAAATATGCAGCTCTGTTTCCGACAAGCTGCCCGATTTCGATTCGTACGCAGTCCAGTGACGTAGGTCGTCTGCTGGGGTAGCCCATGCTGCTGGTTGACTTTAAAGCCGGAAGCCTGATCAAGAGGATCCCCTCTCGGTAGAATGAAAGAATAGAGAAATATCGGAAGATCAGTGTTTCTTTAAGGGAGCGAAACTAGCCGACAGACTTACACTATGCGTATTATCTTCTCCAGTCCAAGCGAGTGTCGCGGAAAGGTGATAGCAGCGCGGTGTGCATTTCCATTTTGAGCCACTCCATCGGCCACCTCCGGAATGTCGGTTTTTATGTTCGCTACTCGTGGCGGGGTCGGCACCCTCAACGCAGGGATACGATACTAGTTAGCTGGCAGCCAACACGTCGACATGTATGCGATTGCCGTGACATCTGCTGCTAGTTAAGATGTCTAATTTCCAAGATGCATGCCAAAAGGATAGGTGACAGTGACAACGAGGCGCCGCCACAAACGTCACACATGTCGACATCACATTTGGAAACGATGGCAAGGCCCAACTTATAGGGTACATAAGACCTCTCTAGAGCCCACACAACCTCCACAATATATCATTATCATCCTATATAACTATAATAGTATAATAATTAGTAGTAATACCTATAAACCTTTTTTAATAATAATTATAATAAATTAGGCTTTAGCTATACTAGAATTTTATTTTTATTTAATTCTTAACTTTAGTAAAAACTACTATTCCCCCCCCCTCTAGGTAGTTAGGCTTTAATAAATACTATTACTAAGAAGTACTCTTTCTTTATTAATTTATTAAAACTACTATTAAAACCACTATTAAAACCACTATTAAAACCACTATTAAAACTACTATTGCTATTACCTCTATCTACCTTCTATTAATAAAAATTAAGCTAGAATCGCTATTGCTATTGCCTGCGAGTATCGCTATTGCTATCGCTATTAAGGAAGGCTTTTTCGCGATAGCGGTAAGAAGAGGGGTTATATCTTAGAAGGCATATCTTGGAGGTCATATCTTGGAAGGGCACATCTTGGAAGGGTATATCTTGGAAGGTTACATTGTGGAGGTTATATTTTGGAACGTTAAGGGATAATTAGTAGCGAGGACGCCACCGTCTTCGATAGCGGCATATTGTAGGGTACATGAGACCTCTCTAGAGCCCACACAACCTCCACAATACATCATCATCATCCCACATAACCACAATGGCATAACACAACTAGTAAGAAAGAGGCAGGTCAAAACTCTCACGGCATTAGCTCGAGAAGCTGAACCGAACAGTTGGCAACTAGGCTGCCTTGAAGCTCGGTCGACACAAGTGTCAGACTGTTACAGGGTAGATGTGTTCAGCTGTCCGTTTTTCGTTGGGCGACTTTGCTGCTATTGGATGGGTGGCCAAGGACACAGGAACTTCGCCATGGGGTTGTGGCCAGAGACGGGGGATGGCATGGCCGCATCGACGCTAACGACGCGATCTGCGCCAATTCTGCGCTGTCGCAGAGAATTTGTACTTGGGGTTCGGCGGCTTATTGCTGATTAGCGAGGTTGTCCTCTGCTTTATCCCCTTATATCGACAGTCGTTTTCCGCGGTGCCGTTTGGATCAGCACGTAGTTTGCATCGTTCCTGAGGGTGCGATTACGCGCCCGAAACAGGCGTTCCTCCCGATGAAAGCCGAGAACCGCAGTTGATCTACATGGCGCAAGGACGAGATGCGTCGCACTGCTCGCTCTGGTCGGTCATGGGCCCACCATTCATCGTCAGCCGCGATTTCTATCGCACCGGTGTCCCACTGCCAAGTGGCCTATGATTGAGCCGATGGCCGCACGTTTTCCGTTCCGTTTCTAGAAGAGTGATGCAGATGCCGGCGGCACTTGAGGTCTGAGTGTCTGACGGGGTTCCCCACGGTCGGTCAAGACTTACATCGCGGCGCAGGGGTATCGGCGCAACGGGAATCAAGGCGATTAGTCGTGTTGAAGGTTGCAACAGGAGTAATCGCTTGTGCCTGTGAGCGGAGGATGCCGAAACCTCGAGTATAAATACAGCAGTGCCGTCCCGACTTGTAGAAGCGAACAAGAAATACCGCAACAACAGCAACTAAAACATGAAGTCCTTTTCCTCCATCATCACTGGCATTGCTGGCCTTGCCTCTGTCGCCTCTGCTACGGTGCAGGGCTTCGATGTCTCCGGCTACCAGCCCACGGTCAACTGGGGTGCCGCGTACAGCAGCGGCGCTCGCTTTGTCATGATCAAGGTGTGTTGCCGCCGACGACGAGGGTCGCATAAGATGCTGACAATATAACTAGGCCACCGAGGGAACTGGTTACATCTCGCCCAGCTTCAACTCGCAGTACCCCGGTGCGACCAATGCAGGCTTCATCCGCGGCGGCTACCACTTTGCGCTGCCCGACCGCTCGTCTGGCTCTACGCAGGCCGACTATTTTATCGCCCACGGTGGCGGCTGGAGCGGCGATGGCATTACCCTTCCGGTGAGTGAGCTGTTGTTCTTTGATTTTGGACATGTACTAACGTTTATAGGGCATGTTGGACATTGAGTACAACCCGTACGGAGCCACCTGCTATGGCCTCTCGCAGAGCGCCATGGTCAACTGGATCAGCGATTTCCTTGAGCGCTACAAGGCCAAGACGACGCAGTACCCCATCATCTACACGACGACCGACTGGTGGAAGACTTGCACGGGCAACAGCCCTGCGTTTGGCCAAAAATCGCCGCTGAGCCTGGCCCGGTACGCGAGCAGCGTGGGCGAGATCCCCAACGGCTGGTCGTATCAGACTTTCTGGCAGAACAGCGATAAGTACGCGTATGGGGGCGACTCGCAAATCTTCAACGGCGCGTACACGCAACTGCAGAAGATTGCTCGTGGCGGCTAAGCGCGTGGTTGCCGCAGTGGAATAGCAAGAGACAGTGTCGTGGCTTTATCAATGTGCAGTGACTGACGGGGAACGAAAATGACGGCTTGACTGCAGCCTTCAGGGGCGTCTCCACTGTCGTGACACAGTGACGTAACAGGGTTCCAGGACGGTACGTGAAGGAAGCTCAAGTAAAAAATCAAATAGTCAAAATTTACAACAAATTTGGGCGTTCGTTAATGGCATAGGCCTCGTTGCCTCGTTCTTTCCAGCCCTGATTGACGTATGGTTTGGCCTCTGCGGAACCTGTACAAGTACAGATGTCATCAACTAGCTTGTACCTACCGAAGTGGCTCAAGCCTAAGCCACAACTAGCCACAAGGCCTAATAACTTTACCTACCTCTGTGGGTAATAAATGCAGAAAATTGTCTTACAGCGCACGAAAGTCCCTGTAGCGCCCCCTATCCTGCCGCCACAAACCCCTCCACCGCCACACCTCACGCGACCCCGACTTTCTTCTCCAGACATCTTCGTCCTCCTCACCATCCGACGGCTCGGTCTTGCATTTCGCTATTTACGGTTCTAGTTATTCCTCATCCTGTTGAGCCGCCTTGCCCTCTATCATTTTCATCTCGTCCATCTTCGCTACCGGGAATAAACCCCTGCAGGCTCACGCCGCCCATCAGCGCCTCTTTCGTCATCGAGCCCCGGCCGGCGAAGCCGAACCAAGGCCAACTCGGCATTCCGCCACCCCGACCTCGACCAGCAACCGGGTTATCTTTCAGTTTCAGACATACGTCGCACAACGTCGCCAACATGGCTTGGGACTCGCCTCTGCAGAGCTCTGTCATCAACAGATATGTCTTTGGCCGGATTGTACGTTGTCCCCTAGCGAACAGACGCTAACGCCGTTATCGCCCTTGCTCCACGTCGCTACTTTGGCTAGCAATGTTGGCAGTTCCATCTCGTCATCGACGCAGCCTGCCATTGCAATCATCAAACCAACTCCAATTCGCTAACAATTCGCCTTGTCCATAGCCTCTCCTTCATACCCTCATCCTCCTCATCGAAATGGCGCTGGCCGCCCGACTGACAGCGAGGTTCAATGCCTCGTACGAGGAGCGACCACGTACGCCGATCCACCCACTATCGTTCTCGAGAGCAACAACGCTAATAAAGCAGTCATCACTATGATGGTCACCAACGCCCTCCTTGGCGGCATTGCAGACACTGTCGCACAGGTCATCACGGCCTTTCGTCACCGCGTTGTCCGCAAGCCCGGCGGTGGCAAGGACGAGACCGTCACCATCGAGATTCGCGAACTCGGTCGCAAGAACCCCTACTACGAAAAGAACTCTCTCGGCGACTTTGGACAATCTGCCGGCCTCCCGCCTACCTTTGACTTCGAGCGCCTTACACGTTTCATGGGCTACGGCTTCTGCGTTGCGCCTATCCAGTTTCGCTGGTTCAAACTGCTCGAGCGTCTCTTCCCCATGTCCAAGACGAGCTCTTTTGGTCCAGCGCTGAAGCGCGTGGCCTTTGACCAGATTGTGTTTGCGCCACTTGGCGTGGCGCTCTTTTTTACCGCCATGACGGTTGCCGAGGGCGGCGGCCGCCGTGCCGTTAGCAGCAAGCTGCGCGACATGTATGTGCCAACTCTCAAAGCCAACTATGTGGTCTGGCCGGCTGTGCAGCTCGTCAACTTTCGATTGATGCCTGTGCAGTATCAGCTGGTAAGTCAGGTATCATGTCTGCTCATTTTGGTACCTAACGCGCGGTAGCCTTTTGTCTCGACGGTTGGTATTGCTTGGACTGCATATCTCTCGCTCTCCAACAGCACCGACTAGACAATCATCTGCGGGGACACGTGGCTCGCCATGATTCGAATAGACTCAGGCTTGTAAGTGGTCGTTGATATAGAGTGGAGGGTTATTAATATGGTAAGAAAAGAAATTGATAAAGGGGGCGCCAGGATCCAGTTGGCGGAAAATACAGCGCAACGCTGCAGCATTCTTGCTGAAATGTATTTGTTATTTTTTATTGTTGGACTGCACTGGCCGCCCGACTTAGGCCACGAGGCGTTTGGCGTATTCAATAGATACTTTTTGTTGGTACCCTGGCGGTTGCGCTGTTGCCGGTTTTCTTGGGCGTCGAGTCCACGTCAAGCTGCAGCGGTGGTGGTGATGGCCTATCAGTGACTACACCCGCACACCCGTACGACGGTGGTATTGCAGCCCAATCCTTTGGCTTGTACTTATTGTTCCAAATACGACATGTATATGCGACAGAGGATGCGGTTGCCTACAACGATGAATGCACGGGGATCGGTTGGGATTCCTCGGCGTCGGGAGGGACAACTCATTGGCTGTACCTTTAATTGAATAGTTGACCTTTTGGGGACTTTGGCGCCGAGGCGCCGAGACAGCATACAACGGCGACCAGTGACGCAGCCACTGCCCACCAATATGCAAGGCGACCTGATTGCGAACCACGGCAGCTACGGGCAAGACTGGGCTGCAACCGCAGTGCCCAAGTACAAGAAGGGCTCGACGCCGCGGCCGCTGCTCGCCCGGAAATGTTTCACAAAGAGGATCACTCACTTTGCTGTAGCTATGGCCGCGCCAAACGCGAAGCATCACACGAAGGAGGAGAATGGTGCAACAGCCGACAACGCCAACGGCTCGACGTCGGACTTCGCCGCCCGCCTTTCTTTAAGCGAGTCTTTCCAGCGAGTCTTGCAGATCGACATCGAAAATCGAAAGCTGCGGGAGCGAAATGAAAAGCTCGAAGCAACGAACGACACAAACTGGGCCACGATTGCCAACAAGCGCGACGCGTGGGCCGCCGAGAAGGGCAAGCTGGAGCGCGCGCTCCAGCATATGCGAGAAGAGATGAAGATCTTGCGCGAGGTAAAGGCAAAGGCCAGCGATCAGGCTGAACAGATCAAGGCGCACGAGAAGCGAATCCTTTCTCAGTGCGAGGCCATCAAGAAGAGGGATGAGGATATGGCTCACCAGTTGACCCTCTACCAGAACGCCAAAGAGGAGCTCGCCGCGGAAAAGACGAGCGCGCTGGCTCTAAGTGACTCCCTTCTGACAGCTGAAAAGGACTTGGCCCGCAGTAAGGAGGAACTGGAAGTAGCAAATGACGAACTTAACGACCTCGCGGATTTCGCCGCTCGGCTACAGCCCATGAATCAGGGTAAAGAGCAGATGTACGTCCATCATCCTCCACTTCGCCTCATGTCCATGTTTCTGTATTTGAGGGCAGCGCGAGCAAAAGTCGCTAACAGGATGCAGTCAGGAAGCGCTCGCCAACACATTCAATCAGTTCCTACAGTTCTTCGTATCCGAGATGAGCTTTGACGGTAAACCCGGCGCCTATCCGACCGCAGCTACGGAAGAACCATCTATTCCTCTTCCAGAATCGAATACGCCGGCATCGAAGCAGATGAGGATTGTTGCCGCCCTTATTGTGTCGGGAAAGGCTATGGTCAAGCACATATTCCGGCATGCTCTCGTGAGCGACGACTTGGACCGAGTACTAAACCAACTGGCCGTGACCGATCCGGATCATGAGTCATATGTGCGCGAGGTGCTACTGAAACTGCATCAGATGCACCCGGACGAGCAAAAGGCTGCGCAGATGGCCAAGGTTGACAGGGCCGTGAAAGACATTGCCGATCAGCTAGGGCCGATGGTTCCACGACCGACCGAATTCGGTTCTCGGCTGAAGCCGTGTTGTGAGATGGCTGCCAAGGCTTGGGACTTGACCCTGGGAATGGAAAACAAGGTTGATGCGCATTTCCGCTTCCAGATGCCCGCATTCTGGTGTCCGGTTCCGCTCGAAGAAATTACCGATCAGTCGCCCGCCGACCCAGCAAGCGACTCGAATGCACAAGCAGATGCGCCGCAGCAGCCGCTCCCACCCGGCGAGGCAGGCCCGTCTGTGAGCATTGATGAGGTGCTGAAAATGGTCTGGCCTGTCGTCATTGCACATCTCCCGGATGCTGATGAGCCAGCTGAATCTGAGATGCTGAGCTGCGGCTACGTCTTGGCCCGGGCGCAGTGTCGGGCTGCCAAGGACGATGTGACCCGCGAGCAGTCTACGTACAAGAAGACCCGGTTGGAAAGCAGGCGACAGTCGGAGAAAAAAAGACGGAGCTCGGTCGCGCCGTCGCCGGCCAGGGCAGCTGTCGTTACCAGTGCCGCTTGAGTCGATGGATATGGTCCGATTCGCGGCGGCGGCCGTGATGTTCATGATTTGCTACGCTGGAGTAGTCTCCGGCCAGCATTGCTTATAACACCGGTTGGCTCCGGCTGGAAGCAATGCTCGAAGCGATGTGGAAGGGCGCATAACGAAAGAAGAGCAAGTATCGCGAAGCCCTATTGCAGGGCAAGCCTGGCCTTGTTCGTCACGAATTACGGCCACTGTGCTATGCAGACGTGCAAATGTGGCCCTGAAACTTCGCTGGGGGCATTTCAAGGCCCCTCAGCAGAAATGATTTCTTTGACATTATTATTTTGAATTGTTTGCTCTTCGAATATTTCTTTTTTGATACTATTATTTAAATTGTTTGTTCTTCAAATATTTCTATTTCCATTACGATGACGATGACGGGGAGCTTGACTAGTACAGAATGATACTTGCGTTGATTACCATTGAGATCATTGTGAAAATAGCCCTAAAATTAAATCTCATCAAGCAAACAAGTCTTTACTGCCAAGAAAACGGGTAATGATGCGAAACCTTGATGAGAAGTGGGGGTTGCACCTAACAAGTGGGTGTTCGATGTTATCGAGAGAGAGCTTGACGTAAATTGCCTCGCCCCAGCGTTGCCCCTCCATCCCACCTTTTTTCCTCAACACCGCTTTTAGCTTGCACCACGAGCTACAGAAACCATCTCTTTTTCTCCTAGACACTCCAGAAAATCTAACAAATCTCATTTTCAAAATGTCGCTCTCCAACAAGCTCTCCATTACCGACGTCGACGTCAAGGGCAAGCGCGTCCTCATTCGGGTGAGCTCGGGTACCCCGCCATCACAGCAACAGCAAACGTCACAATCCAGGAATCGTGCTAACCGTGACGCCATTGCAGGTCGACTTCAACGTCCCCCTTGACGGCACCACCATTACCAACCCGCAGCGCATCGTCGGCGCCATCCCGACCATCAAGCATGCCCTTGACCACGGCGCCAAGGCCGTCATCCTCATGTCTCACCTCGGCCGCCCCAACGGCCAGGTCAACGCAAAGTACTCGCTCAAGCCCGTCGTTTCGGAGCTCGAGAAGCAGCTGGGCAAGTCGGTCACGTTTGCGCCCGACTGCGTCGGCCCCGAGGTGGAGAAGATTGTCAATGGTGCCGACACCGGCGCCGTCATCCTGCTCGAGAACCTGCGCTTCCACATTGAGGAGGAGGGCAGCGCCAAGGACGCCGACGGCAACAAGACAAAGGCCGACAAGGCCAAGGTGGACGAATTCCGCAAGGGCCTGACGGCTCTCGGTGACGTCTTCATCAGTATGTGCAAGCCTACGCGGCAGTCACACCAGTTTGAGAATCTATGCTAATTCAGACAGACGACGCTTTCGGTACCGCCCACCGCGCCCACTCCTCCATGGTCGGCGTCGACCTGCCCCAAAAGGCGGCCGGCTTCCTCATGAAGAAGGAGCTCGACTACTTTGCCAAGGCTCTCGAGTCGCCCGAGCGCCCGTTCCTCGCCATCCTCGGTGGCGCCAAGATTTCCGACAAGATACAGCTCATCGACAACCTGCTCGACAAGGTCAACACGCTCATCATCTGCGGTGGCATGGCATTTACCTTTAAAAAGGTCATTGACGACATGAAGATTGGCAACTCGCTGTTTGACGAGCCCGGCTCCAAGACGGTGCCCAAGCTGGTGGCCAAGGCCAAGGCCAAGAACGTCAAGGTGGTGCTTCCGACCGACTTTGTCACCGCCGACAAGTTTGACAAGGACGCCACCGAGGGCTACGCCACCGACAAGGAGGGCATCCCCGACGGCTGGATGGGCCTGGACTGCGGCAAAGAGTCCGTCAAGCTGTTCGAGGAGGCCATTGCCGAGTCCAAGACGATTCTCTGGAACGGCCCCGCCGGCGTCTTTGAGTTTGACAAGTTTGCCAAGGGCACCAAGGCGACGCTCGACGCCGCCGTCGCCGGCTGCAAGAACGGCAAGATTGTCATCATCGGCGGTGGCGACACGGCGACCGTGGCGGCCAAGTACGGCGTCGAGGACCAGCTCAGCCATGTGTCCACGGGCGGCGGCGCCTCGCTGGAGCTGCTCGAGGGCAAGGAGCTTCCTGGTGTCACGGCCCTGTCGAGTAAGTAAAGCCGCTCGATTATGTCTTTGGGGAACCCGTTGACGAGGGGTCCAGACAGGCAAAACAGCCGCTTGTAGCGACGAGAGAAAATAGTATAATCAGTTTTCAATCAATCACACTGGCATATTTGTACAATGTCTAATGAAGCATGTGTGCCCTCAAATTCGATTCCACTGTAGCAAAGGATCGCAGACTGACGCGAATTGTCAATTATCGTGACCAAGTCCGTATGTTGTGATGGTTTACAGAAAAGGCATTACCGCCCTCGCCCCATCTAGCCCAGCCTATCCTTGCAGTCCCGGCCATGGTCCTATTATATATGTTTTTTTTTGTTCCTCATTGATATGTAACTTCGCTCGTTCATCTCCGTTTCGAGGACTCGACCTTTTTCAGTTCCTCCCTGCACATGGTTAGCCTGCTGCGATCCTCATCAAGTAAACCACCACCGCTGCCGTTCAACAAGTTACGGCACAGAGGGGGACAAAAGAAAAACGTACTTGAGCTGCGCCGAGAAATCATCCGTCGTGTCGTCATCGTCCCAGCTCTCCTCCCACAGATGCTTGGTCTGACCCGAGCTCTGCGCAGCCTCCGTCTGGTCCTCTGGCCAGTCTTGACAATCGTTAGCTCCTTCGTTTTCGTCTTCGCTGCGCTCAGGGGATGTATGGCACACCGTCAACGGGGAAATCTTCAAACTCGTCGTCCTCGCCCAGGGCGGCGGCCTTGGTCTCCTTGGGCGGCTGCTGGTCACCGGCCGCGGTGGTGGGCTTGTCGTCGGTCTTCTCGGCCGTCATGCTGACCGTGTCTCAGCGATGATGCGCGTGCGCTGTGTAATTGACGTTTGGGTGGGAATATGACGATAGTCCGGGGATGAGATTGCAGGGATGCGACTGGTGTTGGCGTGGTTTGATGTGATTGACGCTGGAGCTTGGGTTAGATCGGAGAGACAGGCAGGTGGATGCTTGCGTGAGCTTCTCGTTGGCGGCGACGTGGGGCAGCCACCCAGGGCGGAAGAATTCGGTCCGGGCTATAGGGTAGGCTACTTTAACGAGGTGTTGCAACCAAGACGCACCCTGTTTCGTTTGGTAAAGGAAAAAAGGGACCACATAAGTGAAATCTCGATTTTCATAGCAATTAACTGTTATTGAAGGCTTTAGAGCGAATACAGGTGTCTTGCGGTGTAGGTTCTGCGTCAGCACGTGCTCCGCTTGAGAGATGTGAGTAACTAACTCGCGTGGTGTGCAAAACCCAACGCACAAAGAAAGGCCGCAGGCAGTTCTTATCAGTTTGGTAACCTCCGTAAGTCTGCTGGCCAATGAGTTACATCATACCTTGTTGTGAGTAACTACCTCCGGACCATAATAGGACATTAACTATTAACAGACTGCTCCAAGAAGCAAGGACTACAAAGAACACAACTTGGCTTCACTTTTAACTCGGGAAATTGTCTTGAGGCCTCCTTATCAGAATCCTCAATGAAACGAATCAATGCGTGCCTCATTGGCTGATAACGTTTCCAGGCTGCAGGCTCTCCAACCTCCACCACCCAACGTTGCACCTAGCGCCAACACAACCTTGATTCAGCCTCAGCCAAGCCAGACGGATCAGAAACCCGGTGCGTGCTAACTCCGGCAAAACGGCCCCGAATCAGAGCCTAAAATCCAGTAGACTCGCCGCTGGCGTCGTCACCGGTCAGCGGGGCCGCCGTCAGATCCGGGCAGTGCAGTGCGTTCATCGAGTTTCGCATGCCAGTCTTGTATTCTACATGATCGTCATTGAGTCGCACCATTTGCCCCAACTACCGCTCACCCTTTCCTTTGTTCAAAGTGGTGGTTCTCTTTGGGCTCGGTGCGTATAGCAACATTCCTGCTCATATCCAACAACAACACATCCGGACTTCCGGCGTCATGAGTCGCCTCGCCTCTTGGTTCGCTGGCCCCAAGGCCGACGACGTCGACCCTCAAGCCGAACTCGCCGCCGAGCGCGACAATCTCGCCGAGGCGATGCGCGCGACCAACCTCATCATCAACGACGACATTGACACCGCCGAGACGGAACTGCGCAAGGGCAGCTCCACCTACCACGAGCTCGGCACCACGCTCGTCTTCTTCATGAAGGCCATCCTGGGCTTCGAAAAGGAAAACATCAACCGTGCCGCCGCCCTGCTGGCACAGTGCGAGACGCGAGCCTGGGACGACCTGCGGCGCGCGCAGAGGCGGGCGGCGGGCGGCCACGCGGCGGGCGGCGACATCTACCCTCCTGGCACCGAGTACGAGCTCGTCGTGACGCAGACGCAGCTCATGTCGGCCGTCCTGGGCGTCCTCAACGAGAGCGTCATGGAGGCCATGAAGAGCTTCCTGAAGCTGCGCCGTGCCTACATTACGCTCGACGCCATCATGACCAAGGAAAAGGACTACTTTCAAAAGCAGCGCGCGCGGAAGGGGTCGAGCAGCGCCGCCGTCGCCAGCCCGCGCGCGTCGACGGAGGGAAAAGCGGTGTTTTCGGAAGCGCCCACGCCCGTGTCGTCCAACAGCAGCCTCGAGGCTCTCCCGGCTGGTACGGAGAAGCTGCCTACGCCGGCCAACACGGCGCCGGCGTTGCAGGACATTGACGTCGAGCTGGCGAATCCGATTGACGCCTTTATCCACTCGGGCGTCAACATGTGCATGGGCATTCTGATGCTCATGATGTCGATGATGCCGCCGGCCTTTGCCCGGATTCTCTCCATTGTTGGTTTCGTGGGCGATCGCGAGGCTGGCATCCGCATGCTCTGGCGATCTGTAGCGCATCCCAACGCTGTACGTATACCCTGAACCTGGGTTTCTTTTTACTAACGCCTTGATACAGAACGGTGCATTTGCCGGCATTATGCTTCTCAACTTTTACCACAGCATGCTCGGCCTTGTCGACATTCAGCCTCACGAGGCAGACTTTGACGAATCCGCCGAGCCCTACGGCACGCCCCAGCACAAGGTTGCCGAGCTGCTTGCCACCATGCGCGAGCGCTTCCCGCAGTCGCGCATGTGGCTAATCGAAGAGGCCAAAGGCCTGGCCTCGCGGCGCGACCTACCCGCCGCCATTTCCGCCCTCGAAAGCGGTACGCAATCGAAGATGAAGCAGGTCACCGCCATCAACCAATTCACCCTTGCCCTCTTTTCCATGTCAGCGCACGACTGGCCGCGCATGCGCAAGTACTTTCTCCACTGCGTCGAGGTCAACACCTGGAGCGCGGGGCTGTACTACTACATGGCGGGCGCCGCGTCGCTGGAGCTGTACCGCGACGCCGTCGCGCGCGGGGACGCGGCCGCGGCCGCGACCGAGAAGAAGACGGCCGAAAAGTACCTCCGCCAGTCGGGCGAGACATCGACCAAGAAGAGGTTTCTCGCCCGCCAGCTGCCGTTTGAGGCGTTTGTGCAGCGCAAGGTACACAAGTGGGAGGCGCGCCGCAAGGCCCTCGGCGTCGACTTTGTCGATGCCGTGTCTGTGAGCCCCGCGGTCGAGATGATGTTTGCCTGGAGCGGACCAAAGTGGATGGGCGCGGCCGAGTTTGCCAAGGCCGAGGCGTGTCTGGCGTGGAGCAGGCTCACGGTGCCCGCCGAGAAGCTGGAGAAGCTCCAGGAGAGGGATGAGCTGGGCGTGCGGGCTGTGTGTCTGGCGTCCATCCTGCGCGGCAGCAACCGCCTGGACGAAGCCAAGGCCCTGCTCAAAGAGGAGGTGCTGTCCCACGACCGGTACGTGTAACCAAAACTCGACAATAGGGCGGAGGTCGTGCTAACCCAGTCAGGAATCTGTTCAAGGGCGGTCAGAAGGAAGACTACGTCGTACCGGCGGCGGTGCACGAAGTCGCTGCCATTGCGTGGGCCGAGTGCGGCCAGCCACCCGCCGGCCTAGATGCGGCGGCGACGGAGGCGTACGAAAAGGACAAGTTCAAGGTATGCGAGGAGAACCTGGAAAAGGCGCGTGCGTGGGAGGCGTACGTGCTGGACGCACGCATGGGCATGCGCATCCAGTGCGGGCTCGCGACGCTGGCGTGGTACCGCAAGAAGAAGGGCTGGGTGGCGTAGATGCGGGCTTGCATTTGGGTTCTACACTATGGAGTGTGCATTTCTGCTGCTGATTTGGTATACATTGCATTATAGATGACGGACAAACATATAGACGGACGGCAACGGTTATTCTAGGTCCATGGGTATCGTCGAGCATTATCCAACCTTTGACTTTCCCACGAAACAAACGCCTTGTAACTCCCTCGGAACAGATACCTTGTAACATCGATGATCTCACAGTAGCCACCATGTTCTTAAATCATCCACTTCACGCCCTTTTCCTAGCTTTATTGCTCTTATTTCCCCGCAACGCCTCCAGCCCATCCTGGAGCATCCCCGCGCCATCACTCACCTTTTTCCCCGCGCGCTCCGGCAAGTGATGTTTCTCCGCCTCGTCCTGCAAGTCCTCCAAAACGTCTCTCCCGCGACTCGTACCGTGCGCCCAGTCCGCGACGCCATATGGGCCAAAGTTGGCGGCGCCTCCGCTCGCGTAGTGAATCGCACCGCGCTGCGCGAGACCGCGCAGCAGGATGCCCGGCGCGACCGTGTACCCGGACATGCTGAACGTCTCCTCAAGCGTGCAGAGAGCGACGAAGAAGAAGTAGGTGAGCAGGTGCGTGTGCCGCAGCGCGACGCCGGGAAGGTACATGGGGAGGAAGCGGTGCAGCAGCAGCGGCACGGGGTGATCGGTCATGAGCTGCAGCGAAAAGGGCGCGCCAGACTGCGCGTGCGCGTATTGCTTGTGGAGGCGGGCGACGGAGGAGGAGCGGCCGTGGAGGAGGAACCGGTGGATATAGTACTGCAGGGCCTCGCGCGCGAGCATCATGACGGCCATGTGCTTGGCCATCTGCCACGGCAGCGGCAGCGTCGTGGCCACGACAAACTCAGGCGTCCCAGTCAACACGGTAAGCGCATAACTGCAAGCCCCTTCAACGGCCACCAGAAAAGCGGTGTTGAAGACGGCGAGCAGGAGAAGCTGGGCGAGCACGCGGCGGTTTCGCGGCGGCAGGCCCGCGCGCCTGCCGTGCTTGATGGACTCGGCGAGGCTCGGAAGGGATGCGTCAAAGAGCAGGGTGAGAAGCGACGGGAGCAACCAGAAGACGACGCGTAGGGCGAGGACACCGACGAGGTGGACCTTGAGCGCCGAGTGCGACAGGATGAGCGTCAGCCAGTTGAGGTATAAGAGCAGCGAGACACCGATGGATGAGAATGAGGGCGCGGGAGCGAGGAAGTAGCTCATGACGGGTATAGAGAGTAGTACGTCCATGGTTGTGGATGTTATGTCATATTGATTTCTTTTGTACTTTTTTTAAAGCGTGGTAAAGGGAGCTGTGAGATGGAAGATCCTGCAAGCTGCCTTCTGGTCTAGTTGCGGACTTTATTGACGTCATTTTGCGGCTACAGCATAACCGATCGATCACTCACCAGCAAAAAGAAAGAATCATTATAAATATAGCCCTTAGCTACTAATAAAGCATATAAGGTTAAGTAAGGACTATATATAATAAAGTATTAAGTATGAAATATAGTTTAATTTTTTTTATAAAAAAGAATAATATATAAGAAAATTAATAAAATTTAGAATATTATATAAAGGAGTTAGGCTTAAGCCTACTCTAACTAGACTTAGCCTAAGGCTACTATAGGTATACCCCTAGTATACCCCCTTTATATACTATAGTAGATAGATAGACTAGCTTTTCCTCCTTTTTTACTCTATAAGAGAGTTAATACTATTATAATACCTATCTATAGATACCTTAAGGCTAGTCTTTAATAATTAACTCTCTTCTATATTAATACCTTTCTTACCTAGTTAAGAAAAAAGCTAATAAGATAAAAGTAATAATAATAGAATTATAACTTAAATAATAGTTACTAATAGCTAAGGCCTACTAGGCGCTTTTAGCCTAGATTATAATTATAATAAAGTAGAATATATTTTTAAAAAAAGAGTTATAATAACTATAAGACTTCTTTAATACCTAGACTATAGCTAGCTAAAACCCTTAAGGCTAGATAGTAGTACTAGGAGGTACCCCTTTTTTAGCTAACTTACTTATAATTTAATAAAAGCCTTTACTTATAAAAGAAAAGTTTAATAGTAATCTTAAGGTATTTATAGGATAAAAGTAAGCTATAGTATATAAGCTAAAGACTAATATAGACTTTATTAACCCCTTAAAGTCTTAATTTATATATATTTAAATAAACCTTAATACTATATTATAACTAAAGGTTATTATATACTTTAAAGTAGGTAGCCCTTAAGGTATAATAAACCTATATAAATTTCTAAGATACTTTAAGATAGTATTTAATAACCTTTATTAATAGTTTATAATAATAATAAACCTTAGTATAATCTTATAAGGTAATAAAGAGTTCTTTAACTATTACTATATATACTTTAAATAGAAGTTAATACTAATTAATAGCTTTATATAATTAAATAAGGTTAAACTAAATAAACTTTACTTTATATTATTAGCTATAATAAAGATACTTATAATTAGCTATAGTATTTCTTAAATAAACTATAATAATATAATTTAAATACTTTAAAAGGTAGTAATTAACTTTAAATTATATAGAATTAAGAAGTAATACTAGGCTAAACTATAATAAAGACTATAGGGGTAGTATATAGACTATAAAGGGGATATTTAAATAATAGGTATCTATACCCTTAGAATTAAACTAGCTACTAGTAGTATAACCCTAAGTAATATATAGTCTAGAAGGTATATTATATAGGTATTTAAGGTAGTACTAAGAGGTAAGGTAATATCTTTACTATAGGAGGATAGGCTATATAATTATAGCCTATAGGCTTAAGCTAGCTAGACCCTTAATACTAATCTATATAAGTAGTGTTTCTATAGGGGACTAGTTTAATAGCTTAGGAAAAGAGGATACCTAGGGATAAGTCTCCCTCTAGGTATATTAGCTATAATAAAAGGTTAGAAAGGAATAGATAAGTAGGATAAGGTAGTCTAGAAAGAGATAGTTAAATAAATAAATACTAAACTATAAATCTTAGTTAACTTTATAATAAACCTACTAGCCTAAAAGGAAGGCTAGCTATATTTCCTAATAGTAATTACTAACTAATTATTAAAGTATATCTAGCTTAAGGTAATAAACTTTATAATAGTAAAAAACTATATAATATAGTTCCTTTTATACTAGTAGTATTTCTATAGATTCCCTAACTAAATTATAAGTAATAAAGAATTAGACTAGGTTAGTAAGTTCTAAAGAATACTATATTACCTAACTAGTACTAAGTAGTTTCTATTAATAGCCTTCTATTTTTAAATAGATAGTAGGATAAAGTAAGTAAACTAGGAAGTATAGGTAGTACTCTATATACTAGTTATATACTCCTAGTATAACTAGCCTACCTAGTTACTAATAGCCTAGTTTATACTTAATAACTAAGACTTATCTATTATAAGTTTTAACCTAAACTTCTTACTATATAGCTACTATAAGCTAGCTATATAGCCTATAATAAGGCTATTAATACCTTTTAAGTCTTTTATAGGAAAGGTAAAGGTATTTTTTAAATATATTAAGAAGGGCTTAAAGCTAGCTTAGGCTATAATTATATATACCTAGTAATAGGTTAAAGAGGCTATAAATAACTCTTAATACCTAATAGAATACTTCTAGAAAGGGGATAAAGTATAACTTTCCTTATATAATATTATAATAGTATAGCTAAATAAAAAACTTAATTAAGTCTAGGTAAAATATATAGTAATAGTAGTTTTAATACTATTAATAATAACTTTTAATATACTAAAGAACCTTTATAAGATATTTTATATTAATTTTATTAAATAGGCTATAAATAATTCCCTTTTATCCTAATTATAAAATAACTAAGCCTTTAAGCTAATATTAATTAAAGATAAGCTAAGCCTAAAGCTAACCTAAGAATATACTATTAAGGAAATTCTATATATTTACTATTTATTAGAATAAGGCTATAGAAGAAAGGTACTTATTAAATAGGTAAGATACTAGGACCTAACCTAGAAACCCCTAAAGGCATTATAAGATAATACTATACTTACTAGGTTTAAAGAATAATAAGGTAATACTTAAGATAATAATAGACTATATATAGCCTATTTATAAAAGACTAAATAAGTATAGTTTACTAACTAATAATTAAGACTATAATAAGTATAGTATTAAGATATAGTACCTATATAAGTAAAGTAAGGTATTATACTAGGGATAAAAGGGACTTATAAGATAATAAGAAGTAATAATTCTTTTATTCTTAAAGGAGTATAACTCTATACTTATAGCTTTACTAGGTCCTTACTAGGCCTTTTAGTATATATAGCCTAAGCTACTAAAGGTTATTAATAAAAATAAAAAAATAATATTAAAAATATAAACTATAGGTATATTAGTACTATACTAAGGCTATAGTATATTAGCTAGGTATAATAAAAAAAAAAAGAAAAGAAAAAAGTATAAAAATATAAAACTAAAAATATATTAATACTATATTATTTTAAAAGTATAACTATATAATAATAAAATAAAAAAGAAAAGATAGTATAATATACCTATATTTATAGTATAAAGTCTAAAAGCTTTTTATTATTATTATTAATATCTTTAATAATAACTACTAGATTAAAGAAAGTAGGGATAATAATACTACTAGCTAGGTTATAAGGTAGTAGTAAAGAAGGAAGAGGGTATACCTAAATAGGTAATATTAAGTAATTATTAAGTATAAGAAAGTAATAATAAGAGGGGGAATAGTAGTAATATAAGTATAAATAGGAGTAAAAGTAATAATAGTATAAGTAAGAGTAGTATAAGTTATTATAATAGTAATAATAATAGCTATTAGACTAGTAGTATAAGGAGTAGCTATAATCTAAGTTATAGTACTTAATAGCTTAGTAGCTAGGTATTAAAGGGGTAGCTAGGTATTATAATATTATTAAAATAGTATTATTAATAGCCTCTTAGTATATAGCTTAGGCCTATATTATTCTTTACTAAGATATAAGTAGTAAACTAAAAAGAAAATATATATACTTATTATAAATATAATAAAGTTTTAGTTAATCTAACCTAATACTATATAGGTAGGGCTATTAAAGCTATTACTAGTATTATAGCCCTAGGGTACTATTACTATTATAGTATTAGTAACTAGAGTAATAACTAGTATAGTACCTAAGGTACTAGGTAAGGATAGGGTATTAGTTAGGTTTATATAGGTATTAGCTAGAGTACTAGTAAAATAGTCTTAGGTATATACCTATATAGCTATTAGAACTATATATTTATACCCCTTAGTATATATAGTACTAATTACTAGTATTATAATAACCTTATTATTATTAATAAATACTATTAAAGTATATATATATTAGTATAGGTTAAGACTATTTATAAATAAGATAGGCTTTTAAATATAGAACTAATAGCTTATAGTATAAGTAGTATACTTATTATTAGTATTTATAATATAATTTAGTATTATTATTTAGTATAAGTATAAGAAATATATAATATATAGAAAATCTAGCTTATTATTAGACTAATACTCTTTATTATTAGAATTACCTTATAAGGTATAGCTATAAATTATTTAATAGCCCTTTTTATACCCCTCTAGGCTCTTATTATTACTAGGTAGTAGTAATAAGGGTAGTATAGTAGTAATAGTTAATATTATAGGTTATTACTATTATATTTATATATTATTATAAAATTATTTATAGTTTAAAAAGGAGTATTTTAAGAGTATAGAGTTATTTAAAGGTTATAAAAAGTAGAAAAATAAAGTAGGTTAAGAAAAGGAGTAGGGGATTTATCTATAAAAAAGAAGGCTAACTAGGCTAAAAAATACCCCTTACTTTAAATATATTAATAATATAGTATATATATAATATACCTTACTAGGTAATAATAAGAAGATAATTTACTATACCTAAATAATAACTAATAGTATTAAGAAGCTAAATATAATATAACTAGCTATAGGTAGAGTAAAAATAAAGCTAGTAAATACTAACTACCTAGATAGCTAGGCTTAGAATAGGGGTAATTATAATATATAGACTACTTAAAAGAAATTCCTAAGTATAAAGGCTATAGTAAAAAGTAAGTAAACTAGGGTTACTATAAGAATATTCTTTAGTAATATATATATAGGCTATAAAAGTATAAACCCTAGGTAATAACCTAGTATAGGTATAAGGTATATATTAAATATATACTAGCTTAAGTAAGTAAGGTATAGTAGGCCTATATTAGCTTAGGTAATTATAGCTAATATAACTAGGGTACTACTAGAGAGGGGGGGTATATAAAGGAGTTAGGCTTAAGCCTACTCTAACTAGACTTAGCCTAAGGCTACTATAGGTATACCCCTAGTATACCCCCTTTATATACTATAGTAGATAGATAGATTAGCTTTTCCTCCTTTCTTACTTTATAAGAGAGTTAATACTATTATAATACCTATCTATAGATGCTTTAGGGCTAGTCCTTAATATATTAAGAAAATTAAGAAAATAAAGAAAATTAAGAATATTAAGAAAATTAAGAATACTAAGAATACTAAGAATACTAAGAATACTAAGAATACTAAGAATACTAAGAATACTAAGAATACTTAGAATACTAAGAATATTAAGAATATTAAGAATATAAAAATAGAATTTAATATTTTATATTTTATAGCCTTTTTATATTACTATATAATATGTGATCTGTGTATCCCTTGTGGCCTCTTCCCTAACAAAGAGATATAGTTCTTAACCGCCATGTCGTCTCTCCATTACCTTTTTAAGTATACCCATCAACCAAGGCTCAAAAATGTCCTTCATCCATTTCCCCAGCACCACCAGCGACGCCTGCAGCTGGTAAATCCCCAGTATGCTCTCTGTGTCACCAATCTTCCAATTCCTGTGCCATACACGCTGCGACATGTGTTAGTCCGTAGCGCCGTGTCATCTGGAGTCTTGTTTTGCAACTCACAATCTCCTTCCCCTGGTCCACCGCGAACATAACGGTCCAGATACTGCTCGATACCTGGATTAGTGGCAGCGTTAACAATTCCTTCTCCGGGTCGCCCGCTAGCGCCGTGAGGCTACGCAGACGCTGGTACCACGCCGCTAGCCACACGCCTAGCTGCACACTCGCACCGTCCCGCACGCCGGCCGTTGTCTTGGTCTCGATAAAGATGGGCGCCGGCCGCTTCCGCAGCGGCGTGTACCGTGTTTGGTTGATGGAGTCCCTCCCCTGGGGCTCCCCTAAAAGGAATGCGTCTATGAGCACCTGCAGCTCGTCTGAGGGCCGTAGGGCCACCACGTAGTCGACCATCTTATGGACCGATAACCCGATGGCGGCTACGGGCCCAGGCGCAGGTGCACCCGCTTCGCTCCCGTGACCCGACGCGTGGCTGCTGCCAGTAGCACTGGTGGCGGATGACGAGGACGGCAGCACCATCCGTTGACCTGAGGCTAGTACCGGGCGGAATGCTGGCATGATCTGTGCCGACATGACGGGTTCAATCATGAGGAAGGGCATGTCTCTCGTTGCGAGCTTTAACATGGGCGTGTGGACGAGATTATTCCATCCCAACTCGAACCGACTCTCATTAATCGCTTCATGTGTTTCAGCCAGGATGCGGCGTAGCTCCTCATGGTTCTCCCGCGCCGTCTTATTAGCCTCTATGCTGCCCTGACCTTCACCATCTCCGGACCACATGGAATCAAGGATGTCCTCGTTGTCTTGAAAGTCCGCGTGCGAACGGACCGCGGCCGGCAGCAGCTTATCACTTTTCCGGACCTCCAACAGCGCCTCGAATAGGGGTTTCGTGTCGATCGGCAGGGCGGCGCGTAGGCTCGCCGCCACGGTGAAGTAGACTGGCAACGCGAGGGTGGCCAGGCTATCGAGCTTCCGGAAGCGCTTCGAAGCGGAGCCGCGCTTCGAAGGGGAGCTGTTCTGGGACGGCGATGTCCCGCTCGACGGTCCTGTGGAAAGGCCGGGCCGACTCACAAGCGCAGCCTGAAAGGCAGAGGCTGACTGTGTCGAGCTCCCTAATTGGCGCACTGGTGTTTTATCGGGGTCAGGCAGTTCGATTTCGTCATTGTGACTCGTTCGCGAGCGTTTCTTAGGGCTTGGGGTGTCGGGCATGTTGTTAGCTGTAGCGACGTCGTTAATCCAAGCCTGCACGACAAAACTATCCATATGAGATGGGCTTTGGTAATGTAAAGGAAGAAGTCGGAACAAGGTCTCCGTCGTTATTGCTATTTATCGTCGGAAAATCCCTGAAAAGGGCAAATGACGAAGGACTGAGTTGGTGAAGTAGCGGTCAACGAACTTCCCCGCCCGTTGCGTTGCCCCTGGTGACCTCTATCACATGACAGTGCACCCCACTTCTTACGTGACAAGACAATATATATAAGTCTGCTTTATAATTGCATTATCTGTAATATAGGATGATACCTTATTCCTATCCCTTAAGCCGAGCAATTGTTCTAGGCTCGGGAACTTTCGCCAAGGTACTGCGTATTGCCTGTCATGGTGCAGCCCAACCAGTGTGCATGGTGACGGCGTGGACTACCAAGAAATAACGAGCAAGCTCGGAGTTGGTAGAGGTCTGAAAAGAGGTTTGGCCGTTAAACATCCTTCCATTCGATAACGCATATGACTCTTGCAGCCTTGCACGGGTATCGTGGATGGTTATCATGCCAGACAGGAGAAGACGGTGTTATCTGTTGAAGACGCTCTTCCGCAGCCCTGACCTCCACCTCGTTCACCGGCTTGCCTTCCGGGCGATCATGGATGACGTTTAGAAGGAAGAGCTGATCCGCAATCTCGGGCCAATCCGTTGCCGACCGGCAGTCCCTCTGAGGCTTGGGGGTGGAGATCATCCGCTCATATCTATCGCGAAAGATGTGAAAGCGCGAGAAGGCGTCCCAGGCATCCCAGCGCCAGCGGTTGTCCGCGGAAGCAAGAATTGGAAGCGGAGCCGGGTTGGGTATCGCGCAACCCCCCCAGCAGAAATCGCATAAGGTTGTCGGATTATATAGATATAGGAGGATATAGTGTCCAGGACGCCAGGACAATACTCTTTGTGGTTGATTGCCGGGTGCCCCTCTTGCTGATAGTAAAAGTCAAAGTATGAAGCAGACGTAGGAATTCTATCCAATATCTCAGAGTAAGTAAGCTCTGCAACTTCTACATGCAAAATGCGCACGAGTGCTTTGATGAAGCTGTTCCGATCATCATCAAGTCGCCGAGATTGGCGTGTGGGGACGGTACAGTGTTACCCCCGCCATCATCAACTGGGCAAGTTGGGGTTGATGGAGAAGAGCAACAATAAGAAAGCACGTACGAATAACAATTTGAAACCGATAGGATGTGACAAGCAAAGTGTTGGACAACTCCTCTACCATGACTTGAGAGGTAGAATTGGAGTGATAATTTAGCCTGACAGCGTTGTGATGGGGGGAAATTAGTGCTCTGTGGTACTAATCTAGTGGCCCTGTCAAAAAACAGGCCTCACGCGCGTAAAGAGTTGCCGCTTCTTTTATGTACTGCAAGCCTATTATACGTGAATCACGCTGCTACATAGGTCTTTCTGGCTTGACCAGCACTCCCCATGTTCTCGGCAGCATACCCCACGGCTTCTCATCGCGTTTGATGACGGTAGCATTTTCCCACTCGCCCGCGGCCAGAATAGTCGCCGTATTATTGCGCGTCATACTGCAGCCGCCAACTAGAAGCCTCCAAGCAGGATTCCAAAAATCTGCAGCAACAAAGTTAGCTCAGAGTCGCTCTGTATAACGAAGCACCATCGCGTTTTCGCTTACACTGCACTGCTGCCGTGAGCCAGTCGGCACTCCGATTGTGCTCCCAGAAAATGAATTTGCCGCCCGGCTTCAGCACTCTATACAGCTCCTTGGCCACGGCATCGGGGTCGGCAACTGAGCACAGCACTTGGATGCTGAGGACGGTGTCGACAGTGCCGGTATCGATGCCGTGCTTCTCCAAGGTGGCGCCGTCTTCAATGCCGCAGGTGAGGAGCTCATAAATGCCCTCGAGCCCATGCTCGCGGATTCGCTGCTGAATGTCCGGTGCAAAGTGAGGGTTGTTCTCTACGCCAATGATACGAGTCACCTTGGTTTTGTCGAAGCGGCAGAGCTGGTTTCCAAGTCCAGGACCCAGCTCAAGAACAAGGCCGCTCGCCGCAAGCACTAGATCCGGGACGGCAGTCTGGTTCGACTCGAAACCGACGAAATTCTCATCTACTCAACCGGTTCGTTAGAATGAAAATGACCCGCTGGCCAGACAAATTTGACTTGGGGTAATAGGGCGGGGTGGGCGCGCCAGACTTAGTGTCTTGAACCAGAGATAAAAGCCAGAATCGCGCAGCTTTGCAATGCCAAGCGCGCTGTATTCACCATTAGTGAAGGCCTGCTTTGCGCTGGTGTAGGCGGCTGTACAATTTTTCTTAGTATTTTGGCCAACGGGGTAGGAATGGGAACAGACCCCAAACGCCATACACGAGTGGCTGCCATGGCTCAAGGTAGCTGCGATAACGGGCCTGAAATTGCCAAACCATGGTTAGATGGTTTGTAGAGCAGAAATGTAATGTGATGGAGTATGAGCAAATGAAGGGATCGTGATCCCACGAACACGAACATGGAGCAACGGAGGAGTAACTATGGAATTGCAGGGGACAGTTGGGGAAGTTAGGCCTAGGCCCACACGCGCAAAAGTTCCAGGATCAAGTCGTTGGTTACAAGTACCAGCAGGGTCTCACGCTGCGGAGATGTCGGAAAGCCACCTGTGATGCTAGTTTTTCAACGCTAGATTGGGCACAAGGCCGAAAGGGGCGTTGGGTTTGAACCGTGTAGTGAACAGAGGTTGAGAGGCTACTATGTTTTCATCTGAAGGCATGGTCTGTGGCCTGGCCAAGACCTGGGGTGGTGCCGTTTTAAGTGGAGAAGACGAGTTTGCTTTATCTTGGCACGTCTGCAAAGGGAGGACAGTTGTTTAATAAGAGAATGAGAGAGAGTGTCGATCTATTGAACAGACGTGGCCCAGCACACCGTCCCCCGCCTCAGCCTCGTTCAAGCTTCACACATTTGACCGCCCTAACTGACTCCGCGCACCTGTGATTCTACTAAGGCGGCAATCTAGCACGGGACGAAGCGCTGCTGTTTGTTGGCTTTACTCTGTGGTGGGGGGTTCAAGGGGGTCCTAGGACCGAGTATTATGTGGAATTAAGAATTAAGGGTACCATTGGCGGCCCGCCACCCGGAGGATCTTGGTGCCCCCAAGATTGCCAAGGCGTCGCTAACTCAATAATGCGCTAAAAAACAGACGAAGATTGCAAAGATTACCCAAGTACAAGACTACTAAAGAACCCTTGTTATAACATAATTGTAGTCTTTTTAGCCATTCTCAAGACATAGGCAACTAATCCGTTTGGGGCCCTTGTTCTTTCACACAAGTCACGTGTATTGAAAATTCTGCCGGCTTCTGTGTCAACTAGCCCTTTTTTTCTCTTGTCGGAGCATGTTGGAGCAATCACTCTCAATCCTTAGTACCAAATCGAAGCGCCAGACTGACCGAACGAAACCCCCGTCGTCTTGCACAAATTATTACCATGTTTGCTACAAATACCCGCCAGGCACTTTCCGACTGCCCACACACAAGACCACGCCAGCACCGAGCAATCTGTCCCTCGACTTCCGTTTTTTCTTCTTTCAACACCCGCTACAGGAGATGCCCATAATACATTCGCTGTTCATACAAGCCATGTCCTTCAGTATATCCCCCTGAAGCTGCGAACAGCTTCATTCTTCATCTTCTCACTAGAGCGTGGACGGAGCTTCGCATACTGGCCGGCGATGCGCTCAATGCAAATAACTGACTTGCGAAACCCCCGAGTAAGAATCTTTCTCAACTGGTGGAGCGGCTTCATTGGCTTCATTTTCGACTCAATTGCATCTTTCTGGCAGTTGTCCAAGATATCAGCAGAGTCGCCAGCCCGAAGCACAACAGAGTCGCCCTGCGCTGCATCTCCCAGCTGCGACTTGACGTCAGCAATCTGTCGAGTATGCACAGGCAGCCGCGTCAGTTTTCCAGTTACACTCGCCAATTTTTGCTCGTCTTTGGAGCGGGGATTCTGCATCATGGGCTTGATGTCCCAGCCACTGCACACCGTCCACGCCTTCTTCGACTTCGCCATTCTGCAGCCTTCTCTGCCAGCTTTATAACGGGCACTGCGGCTCCCATCCCCCATCGCCAAATGCAGCTGCTCAAGGAGCCAGACGCGAGAGATATCTGCCAAGAGCGTGTACGTGTAAGCCCTTGTGAAATGAGGATAGCGCTTCTCCAACGAAAGGACTTTGGCGAGCTCCGTCCACATGCGTATCGTCACCTCCATAACGTCTACTCCCCACATGAAGTCCTGCCACTCCAAGTTGCTCCATTTGTCGGGATTCTGTTTCGCGGCACCCGGGCTGACCAGCCCTTGATCTCTAGCGACTTGCTCGGGGCCATCCGGCATGTGCAGAGTATAGGCCGTGGCTGTTGCGCCAGCAGCAATCTTCTCTGCTCGGGATTTTCGAATAGTCTCGTACATTTTCAATGCTAGCCGAACATTGGACGTGCAGGTAAGCGCAGTGGCTAGTACTGCAGCATCCTCCATGGCATTTGCAGCGCCCTGGGCAACGTACGGGAGCATCGGATGGCAGGCATCACCCAACAACGCTACATTGCCTTGGGTCCAAGTTGGCAGATCAGGGTAGACATGAAGATTCCACTCCAGAACATCTTCATCCGCATGCGCTAACCATTTTTGTACGGCTGGTGACCAGCCTGCGCAGAACTTGAGCATGTCCTCCCGGCTGCCCTTGCTTGTCCACACGTCTTCGGACAAAGTCTCCGACTTGGCTGGATGAAGAAGAACGATATTGTAGAGAGAGCTGCCCCTGATAGGGTAAGCCATTATGTGGCCACCTGGTCCCATATACCTCATAGCGACGTTTTTATCCATCATCGAGAGAGTCAGAGGATCGTCTAGAACCCGGTTTCGTGGGATCAGGAGCCGGTACGCTGCGTCGCCAGTTGGAATCGGCTCATCCTTGTAGCCTTTCGAGGTCATCATTTGCTGGCGAATGTGACTTTTTACGCCATCGGCTGCAATGACCATATCTGCGGATAGCCAGAACCTCTCACCCGTTGTACCGTCATGGACATGAACCTTTGCGGAGAACTTGGGGTCGACAGCCATGACCTTGTGGTTGGTAAAAATATGGCAACCGAGTTCCAGAGCCTTGTTCAATAGTATATTCTGCAAGTCTCCGCGATGAATGACGCCCATTGGGGCGCCGTATTTGAGCCCGTTTGCTGGCAATAGAGGAAAAGTGGCCATTTCATCGTCGCTCGTATACCGCCTGGATATGTTAGCAACAAGCCAGTTGCGGCTGCACATGTCCACATACCGAACACTGACTCTTTCCAAGACGGTGGCATGGTCCATTACATCTCGCAATACATCCAGTCTATGAAGTATTCGAGCAGCATTCGGCGCAATTTGGATGCCGGCACCGACATCAGTGATCTCTGAAACTGTCTCAAAAATAGTCACACAGTGGCCGGTGTGTGCGAGGGCTATACCGGCAGTTAGCCCTCCAATGCCAGCGCCGACTATGATTATGTTGAGCGCTTTCACAGCCCGTCGGTCGCTGCCTTGAAAATCATCGCGTATTGTCTCCATGGCGAAAAGTGAAGGCGAATCGGTCGTATGAGTGCCCAGGCTTGATACTAAAAACGGCAGCGTATACTTGATGACTGCGAAGGGAGCCAGCGAATACTGGAACAAAAGCCACAGACATCAACAGACGGAGACGGCGAACATGGCGACAGAATCGAGACGAACAATACGTCCCAGCTACGCATTTGTCAGAAAAAAAAAGAAGTTTGTGAGCAAACGTCACGAGATGGCCAACAAGGGCAATTGCTTGCGGAGCCCCTTCGCATATGTTGCATCGGTAGTTGCAACTAGCTCTGGGGACATTGACACCCCTGCGCGGATAGGTAACTGCATAGTAACTGCGAAAGCCTCCATTCTAGCGTAAGATCGGTGTTGAAATGGACCCGAGATATATTGCGACAAGTGGAGAGCGCCCCTCATTTAAGAGCACACACGGCGTTGACATAGCATCGCCGAGGCCGAGGCCTTGTTTTGTATGGATACTTGTTTTACAAATAGGTAATATGGTGAACAGACAGACAGTGTTGAGAGGGCGTGTAGCTGAAGACCTTGCCAGCCTTTCAGCCAGCCCGATTTACCAGGGGCGGTCTATAGTTGACTGCCGAAAATCATATCGGCGAGTATTACTCAATCGATGCGTATAAGGGCAGGGTAGGGATTAGTAGCAAAACCTCACAGGGATACAAACTTTTATCGTGCGTCCCGTAGATTTAGGGCTTGATGACGAAGGGGTTGCCGGGGGTCAAAATGTTACATGGACTTCCCGTGCGTGTAGGAGTCGGTAGCACTAGAAGAACCTCGAAGGAATATGGAACTTTTGCCGGACGCTTTGTACAGGTAAAGAAGAAAATCGCTGTGTTTGTCATAATATATATTCTCTCAATCTCTTCCACTTATTCTTCATTTCTTGTCATCTTCACTATTCAACGGTATTCAACATGCCTTGCCAGCTTGCCATTACCTCTATTTCTCTCGGCCGCAGCACTGCCGGCCACGACTTTACGCACAAGATGAACATGGCCAAAAAGTACGGATACAAAGGAATCGAGCTGTTCCATGATGACATTGTTTCTGTTGCACGACTGATGCCCGGCGGCCATACCCAGAGGAACGAGCTTGAAGCGGCGCGCACCATTCATCTCATATGCTGGCAGAGAGGCATCAAAATCATATGTCTGCAGCCCTTCTGGCACTACGAAGGGCTCCTGGACCGCTCGAAGCACCTCGAGAACATTGAAAAACTCCTCTTTTGGTTTGAGCTGGCCCGCGTGCTCGGAACAGACATGATCCAGATCCCGTCCAACTTCCTCCCGCAAAGCCAACTCTCCAGCGATCCGCAGCTTGCCATCCACGACCTGCAACAAGCAGCAGATCTTGGCGCCGCGCAGGACCCGCCTGTGCGTTTCGTCTACGAGGCGCTCGCGTGGGGGACGCTCTGCGACACGTGGGAGCTCAGCTGGGAGGTGGTCCAGGCGGTCGACCGGCCCAACTTTGGGCTGTGCCTCGACACATTCCACATTGCGGCGCGCGTCTGGGCCGATCCTGCGCATGCCAGCGGGCGCAACGCCAACGCCGACGCGCTGCTGGAGCAGTCGCTCGCGCGCATGGCGCAGACGGTCGGCGTCGCCAAGGTGTACTGCGTGCGGGTCGTCGACGCCCAGCGGCTGGTGGCGCCGCTCGTCGCCGGCCACACGTTCCACGACGACGCGCAGCCGCCGCGCATGAGCTGGAGCCGCAACTGCAGGCTGTTCTACGGCGAGACGCACTGGGGCGGCTATCTGCCGATACAGAAGATTGCAAAGGTCATTTTTGAAGACCTCGGCTACGAGGGCTGGGTCAGCATGGAGATCTTTCACCGCAGAATAGCCGAAGAGGACCCCACGCTCCCCCGTGAGCTCTCTGCGAGAGGTTCGATTGCTTGGGACCAGCTCCGGCGAGATGTTGGAGTCAAGGCGGCGCTCCCAGAGCGCGATTTCGCATTGGCAGCCATGTCGGGAAAGCGACGCATTCGGCAGTTTCTGAGACCCCATTAATGCAAGATGTGTATATAGCTATAAATGTTTATATGGACGACTTGAGTCATGTCCCACTTTGAGTCTTTTAGCGGTCAGTGTCTTGAAGTCATCTCTTTTCGCATGGGCTCTCTAGCAGTGCGCAATAGAAGGAAGACGTATTGTATGAACGGATCTACATAGCAATAATGTTTTTGAGAATAATTGTACAAAAAGTCAATATTGTATAAAGAAACATCTAAAGTACGCATCTCGGTCTAAATATGAAGTGCATCCGTATCTAGTCAAGCAGACGGGCCAAGTTGACCCCATCCCAGAGTGGGCACAGCCAACTCTCAAGACGCTCGCTGCCAGATACAGCGTCGTTGTATTTTCGCAGAGACTGAATGTCTTCCGATTTCCAGTACTCCTTGCGATGCGGGCCAAAGTCGTACTCGCGCCAGGGATTGCCCTCGCTGTCGTCTGCAACGAAGCCGCAGCGCAGGACGTTGTCGCCGATAATCAGGCCACCCGCGCGAAGCAGACGCTTGCTGGAGCCGGGCTGGGACAGCTTGAGAATCGTATCGAGGTACTGAGGGTAGCCGGACTTTTGCGCGTCAATGAAGATGATGTCGTACGGCTCATCGGGGGCAAGCGTGGGCAGGCTTTTGGGGGGCCTTGTTAGTGACAGGTACGAGTTGGGGATGGCTGGACCAGAACTTACACCTCGAGGGCGTCGCCAACAAGAATTTCCACATTCTCGACACCGTATTTTGCAAACGTCTCCTCGGCCTGTTTGGCAAAGGCTGGGTCAAACTCCAAACCCGTCACTTTGCCATTCTCGCCGACAACATTGCTCCACACCAGACTGGAGAGTCCGACGTAGACACCAACTTCCAGAACTAGAGCACAGGACAAATTAGAATCGTGCTCGGCCCATCTATGGTTGCCGCGTTCTCGTACTTCTCTTTGCCCCGACCGTCTTGGCAAGAAAATGCATCGCTTGCGCCTGGGAGATGGAGACCATGTAATTGGCGGTGGCCGGCATCTTTTCGCGGATGTGCTCATGATAGTCAATGATGTTCTGGGGGACGCTGGTGCTGTGCATCTTGGCGTACGAACCGATCCGCTCACCCATGCCGGGGTTCTGGTACAAGACGGGAGACTCTTCCTTCATGTTGGCGAGGTGATGCAGACTGTGCTTTGGCAGTGGACGGAAGAGTAATGGTGATGAGAGAAAAGACTCGCAATACAATGGGAAGCCGTCGTCTTTTCAAACTATACCCCTGTAGTCTGTAGACGAGGGGCTCAGGTTTGTCCGTCTGGTTCGTAATCCTTTCCAGGTAAGCAAGACAATCAGGCCTGCGCGAGAATGGGTCTTCCCACAGCCTGTCTCTGCAGTTGCCGCGATACTGCATTTGCAGTTGCCTGACACTCTTTCACAAGGCCGTTGCAGCCGCCCGCGCAGCGCCACCCGCAATCCTGTGTGATCGCGTGCATCTGCGGCCGGCACTCGCACCCAACTGCCCGGTTTTTGATACTTGATTGCCCAGGACTTGGTTTGCCCGCATCTGCGGCCCGTACTCGAGCTGCCTGTACTTGAGCTGCCCGCACTTGAGCTGCCCGCGCTCGATCGCAACTCTCAGCAACTCGAGTCCTGAGCTCTGAATTGGAGGCGTACGCAAACAGCACTCAATACTTGGTGACAGCGAGTCTGCCGGTGGCGTTGTGAGTCGTGACATCCCTGCCCAGCCTTGAGCAACAGCAGTTGTTCAGCGGAAAGATTCAACTATCTGGGGGGGTATGGTGTCGCACTACCACCCCTTTCTTCCCTTCTTTCGAGCCGGCCGACGAGCCGGGCTTACCTGCGTCGACGCTGCATTGTCATTTTCAGCTATGGACTCGACTTGGTGTTCCAGAGGCCATGACTAAAAAATTACCGTTTACAGTCCACCCCACTTCGTTTTTCCTTTTAACTAGGTTGGTGACTCTGAAGACTTTTCTTTCAACCTTGCCGGGTTGTGGCGATCGATACCCTGCCCCTGACTTTGACTTACACCCACCAGCATGTCTGACACAAGTAGTACACCGTACACACCCCCCCTCTACAGAGTACTCCCAACGTCTTTTTCTATCCTCCGTCATTGCTATAATACTGCGACTCAGTCTTGGCGGCGCCGTCACATCGACCACTCCGATCGAATTTCCTGGGCAAGTGATTGACAGGGGTCATCAGCCGCGCCGGAGGTGTCGCATTGCGCGAATATATTCATCACTAAACAGATAAAACCCAGTCCTCTAAGCCAAAACCATGGATCTTGTCGTACTGTCTAGGGTGTAATTTCATGGCTGGTCTCAGCCCCTACCAGCGTCGTTGATGACCTTTCATGTCTCCCTTCCAGACCTGCGCTGAGAACTTTTGACCCTCTTCAGTATAGGTTATCGGGCCAGTCTGCTGAACCTAGCGACGTCACGTAAGAGTGATGCATGGATATATGTGCGGCTTAGGCTTCTGGGTAGACAAGGACTGGCCGTGCGTTTCCTCGTTAGCATGGTGGAGTGCAGCATCACGGGTGCTAACGTCAGAGGTGTATCTAAGGCGGTGGAGGATGGGCTTGAACTGTCGATTTCATAGTTGAACTGCGTAACTATGGTGGAACATGTCGGGCGCCGCACAATGGCGCACACACCGGTCACGCACTGTGTGACCATTTTTGAGACAGTTGACAGAGCTGGGCACTCTTTGCTCAGCTCGGAAACGTAGAACTGGCCGAGGAGCTTGGAGACCATCGTGCGAGCGGTGAGGTCGTGTGCTCAGTTATCGAGTGCGGGAGAAAGCGGCAGGGCACGTTTTGCCTCTGCGACGGGAAGCAGCAGGGCTGTGAGCAAGGCGGACAAGAGATAGTTGATCATGATTACTGTTTCCTTGTGGCCCGTGCTCTCGTTAATCGTGAACTAGGTCGCACATTTCGGTGTCGAGGTCCGTATAGTCCAAGCGCTGGAGACTTCTTCGAGGCCGATGCCGCAGTTGGCACCGACGACGACAGCGACAAAGCCGTCGAGGTTACATCTATGCCGGCAACCGGCGTGAAGCTTTACTGGCGCCAGAGGAAAGCGGTGATGCTGCCCTCCTACATTATACTGCGACGGAATACCTTTCTTTTTTTTTCCTGCGTTGTTGGCTTGTGGACGTTTGCTGGGAAGGATATGGCACCGACACTAGACGGCGACAAAGGGCGAGGAGGGAGGCAGATTCAACGGGTTCCTGCCACTAGCAAAGGTTTTTTTCAACTGCAACTCATAAGAAATAATATTCAAATATAAAGGAATCCTTTCCAAGGTTAAGCTAAAGCGGAGTCAAAGTCTGGAGTTGCGCGCTCCACTGCCCAACGTTACTTACTCGAAGCCTTGTCTGTTGTTACACAGAATGTTGCAGCCAATCAAGCGACAAAGACAAAGTGAGAGAGAATTTCTTTCAGTAGAGAGGCCAACAGGACCCCGCGTTACGACCTCGAAACTGCCCTGCTGAGATTTTGTAAAAGGTCATCATTGCAACGCTGCATCGCCCCAGCGACTTGAACCCATACTTGCATCCGGACCATCTTCATCAGATAAACAGCATGGCTACCCGCAATGCTCTTATCATTGGTTCGGGCCCCTACAGCTACTGGCATCTTTTTCCCTTTCTTGTGTAGTACTGACATTGAGCAAGGTTCAAACAGGGGCCTCGGGCTCGGGCTGCTGAAAGTCTTCAAGGAACACGGCTACAACGTCTTTGGCACCATCCGGCCACAGACACGATCCGACCCCTCTTTCAAAGACGTAAGTCGACTTTCCTGTCATACTCCATCATGTTGCCGATTCTCAACGACATTAGCTTGAAGCTACAGGGGCCACCGTCATCGACCTCGACTACCTTGACGAGGACAGCATTGCCGCCGCCGCCCAATGCTACGGCCACGACCGGCCGCTCGATGTTTTGATAAACTGCGGCGGCATCGAGATGCCCCCCGAGAGCTGGTTGGAAACCACTGCCGATGAATTGGTCTACAAGTATCGCGTCATGACCGTGGTATGTTCTACCGTCTGCTCCAGCTGTCGTCCTCTCACACGACCTACATAGGGGCCTTTTCTCGCGAGCAAGTACTTTCTCTCCAGCCTGCGAAAAAGCGAATTCGGCAAAATCGTCAACATAACCTCCGAGTGGGCGTCCATCGCAGGTACTGTCTTTCAAATTTGATGCCTCCACTGGCCGGAACAGGCTGACCAGAGCACAGCAAACGACTGCGGAACACACATCAGCTACCGGGTACCGAAATCTGCGCTCAACGCACTCAGCATCTCGGTTGCGATTGAGCTGCGCGCTGCAGAGGAAAATATCGCTGTGCTTTGCGTCGATCCCGGCGATGTCCCGACCAAGCTCAGCCGATGGGCGGGGGACATTGATCTGAATGATTCTGTGCGCGGCATGTACGAGCAGATTGACAAGGCGACGATTGAGGACACTGGTCTCTTTGTGAACTGGAGAGGCCACAAGTGGCCCTACTAAGAGATGTGCCTTTGGATTTCAAGGCAAAGAGCAGCCACACGAAAAAAAATGCATCATCTATTTTATTGTCGAGCTACATTTATTTTCAAAAGTGCACGTTCAGCATGATTTTCCGTCTCACTCAGCTCTTCCCGAAGAAAGTGACCGATGCAATGGCCAAGCCTTCGATCCCCGCTCGAAGGGACGGTTCAATCTCTGGCGCAAACTTTGGATTGTGATTCGAGGGCAAATCCTGGATCCTGCCGTCTTTTGCAGCCTGATCATATTCGTCTCGCGGGATCACACCAAAGTTCCAGTAAACGTACGGGATCGGCTTCTCGCCTGGCGGGTGGCCCAAGAGCACGAAATCATCCGCAGTGATGTCGAGGTCCATCTCAACCACCTTTCCCGGCTCGTCGTCCTTGTAAAATCGTTGCAAGGCGCAGGCAAACTTCCCCGTAGCTTCTGCATCATTGTCAATCGGTGGGCAGTGGGCCGAAGTTGAGATCCGCGGAGGCTTGGGAGAGTTTGCAGCCCGGCATTCCCCCTCAATGATGCGGCTGACTGCCTTGACCGCGGTGTTTTGTATATTCTGGTCAAAGGAGCGAATGTCTACTTTGAAGTCGGCAAACTCGGGGATAATGCTGGCGTCTGTTCCGGCGTGGAAATAGCCGCAGGTGATGGTGCACGGCTCCCGAAAGTCAATCTCTCGCGCGACGACCATCTGCAGGCGTGATATGATGCAACTTGCCATCAGGATAGGGTCAATACCCAGCTCCGGTGTCGACGAGTGAGTTCCCTTGCCGTAAACGCGGACGGCCAGTGAGTCGAGAAAGGCGAGGACTCGCCCGGGCCTGGTGCCAATGGTGCCGGCCCTCGTGGGGACAGCATGCTGGCCCAGCACAATGTCCGGCATGGGGATCTTGCTGAAGAGGCCGTCGTCAATCATTGCCTGAGCGCCGAGTAGCCGCTCCTCATTCGGCTGGAAGACGCAGACGAGCGTGCCGGACCAAAAGTCCTGGACCCGTTGCAGCAGGTCTGCCGCGCCCAACAAGCAAGCCATGTGCATGTCGTGGCCGCAGCCGTGCATGACGGGCTTGGTGATGCCGTCCAAGTCGACCTGCTTGACCTTGCTCGCATACGGGAGGCCTGTATCCTCTGCAATCGGCAAGGCATCCAGTTCGGAGCGGAGCAGCACTGTTTTCCCCTCCCCGTTGCTCAAGATGCCGACAACGCCATGGCCGCCAATGTTGCTCTGCACCCGAAAGCCCAGTGACTGAAGGTGCCCGGCCACGACGGCGGCCGTGCGAGATTCCTGGCACGGGAGCTCCGGGTGCTGATGAAGGTCTTTGTAAATCAAAGTGTACTTGTCCAACGAAGGGAAGGAATCTTGAAAGACGGATCGCCAGTTGTCGATGGCGGGGCCGCCGGTGTCTATGTTTGGGATCTGCATGTTGACTTGCAGGTTGTCAAGCATGGGGAGCAGCGTATGAAGGAGACTGCTATTCGAGAGAAAAAGCTCAAAAAAGTGTATCAAGAGCCAGCGGGGTCAAGTTGGCTGGTCACTTAGGGCTAGAGAAGCATCATTCCAGAGGGGTTGTGAATGGGCGTTGGCGTGGACAGGGGATCACCACTTCCTGGACACTTGACCGCCTCAGAACAAAGGATTTGAATCGAATCGACTTGGCGTGCATCCACCATTACGCCACACCCAGGGGCGTGGCATACTCGTACGAATATTTCTCACTGTTGGGTTGCGGGTAGAGGAAGCGAGATTTGCGAGTATTTTGTTCGAGGAGACGGTAGATGTGCCAGCGACTCTCTAGATACGACGGTGTCATAATACCAGGACTTCATAATAGAAGGTAGTATCTTTCTTTCGTATTATATATAAATCTATTTTATAGAATTGCGTGGAACCACACCCCTTTTGACTGTTTAAAGGCCCTTTAGACATGATAGAGTCTTCAAGGTGCCAATAACAGCGCTGGCGAGAGTGCTGGTGAGTGCGCTGCAAGGAGGACTGAAATAAGTGCTGAAAGGTGCGCTAGCGGACTGCTAGCGAGTGTGCTAGCGGCGCTGGAGAGAGCGCTAGAAGGAGAAGGAGCGCTAAAAGGAGCGCTAGGAAGAGCGCTAAAAGGCCCGCTAGAAGAGGCTACGTATTCAAGGTTGAGGACGTTTCGAAGGCCATTTCTGGTGCCTGAATTGCCATGGTGGGATATCGGTCTTGGAGACCTGGTTTGTCGCGTCTGGCACAGGCGGGAGTGTCATTATCGCATCTTGCTTGGGCCTCACGTGGCAAGGTACGCGCGCGATCGGGGAGCTCGGTGCCGTTTCGCGTGTGACAGTCGCAGCCGTGAGCCGTGGCTTTGGATGGACGAAACGCGGGGAACCCATGTTGGAGAGCGTTGGCTGATGTGTGCAGGCAGCACGTATCACCACGGTTTGTCAAATGTCTTGGCGCACATGACAGCGCATAATAGGGAGGGACTTGGAAGCCATCCAAGTTCCAGAAGCCTACATGACATATCTGTACTGGAGTTAGTTGCCCGTTTGCCTCGCCCCGCTTACTGATGGCCGAATTCCCCGATTTGTATGTCCTCGTCTGTATAAAGCCTAGCGTCAGGCGGAACGAATTAATTCATGCGGGGTCTGGGCTCTTTATCGCGATTCGTCTGATCGGCTAGTAACCTTGTGTAAGTCTTCATGCTAACTATTGCCAGACCTAGCAGCGGATCCAACGGCATGAAATTCGACCTACACAAGAGAATTCGTTTTTCTTGCCATTGTCTGACCAATGTGCGCTACCTGATTGACCCGGCTGCTTGGCGATCGTGCCGCCTTGGCAGCCGAGCAGGCGATGATGCGATGTGACGTGCCGAGTTTCCGCTGTGGGTTTCTGGCAAGCACGCCATTGACCTGCCACGAACATCACACAATATCCAGCCGACAGTCTTGATCACAGTCTAGCCTTTAACCAACCGTTGCGTTATTCGTCAATCCTATGGTAAATGGCGGATGCCCTCGGTTCTGCCCGGTGGCTTCGGCGCACAGGGCCCAGCATGTCGTCTATTTCTGTCCGCGCAACATGGCAGCTGCCACAACACACTCCACAACCTGCCATTTGCAAGCCACCTTTGAAGGTCGCGAGCAAAAGTTCCAATACAGCCTTGCAATGGTCTGCTCTTGACGAGTTACAGTATTTCTCTTGCTGCATCGGCCGTTGACGCGCTGCAGTCATTCTCCAACATGATTGCGCCATCATGTTGCGGGTCGCTGCAATGCACAATCACCTTCTCCAAGAGGTAAGAGCTGGATAATGGTGTCCATCAGGAATGCAACATTTCGTGATGTCCGCATGGTGCCTGGAAAGCAGACCATGGGGGAATATAAAAGACGCCGTGGCTCGGTAAATACAATTTGCGCTACTAAGCGTCTTCCTTTGTCAAATCCACCACGCGACGAAGATGACATCTCCCGTGCCTAATGCCATCGAGGCAAAAACGGTGGCTGAGAGCCCAGACACCCAAATTTACCAACACATTTTTGAAAAGTCCAATGTCAAGGCAACCGCTACAGGACTATCCGACCAGCCCGGCAGCGACGCCGACGCCAACAGCGACAATGTTATTCTCGACACGGCCCAGGACGCCGTCCATCATCTCTTGCCACTTCGAGATGACTTTGAGCCCGCTTTGACGTTTCGCAGCCTGTTTCTTGCGTCCTGCCTTGCTGCGTTCCAGGCGGCCATGAGCCAAATCTACTCGGTATTCTCTTCTCTCCGCCCCCGCACTGTTGTGGAATTCTCGTACTTTGCTAACATGATCGACAACGATAGTTCAAACCAACCTCTGTCGGCGTATCGGGAACCTTTATTGTGCTCATTGCGTACTTTGCAGGCCTGGCCTGGGCGAAACTGCTTCCCCGAGGAGACAAGTATGAGGCGCGGTGGAGAGAGCAAGGGGGACAAGGGACGCCGCCGCGATGGATCCAAGTCTTGTCCTTTTTCAATCACGGACATTGGAATCTCAAAGAGCACGCCGTCTGTTCTATTACGGCGACATCGGCGTCCAATGCCACCGCCAGCATCACTGTATTCACAGCCCAGGACTTGTTCTACGACTTGCCTCTCAGTTCAACCACGGTTGTCCTGAGCACACTTTCCATTGGCCTCTTTGGATACGGCCTCTGCGGCATCTTCCGACCCATCGCAGTTTGGCATGTCGAATCCGTGTACTGGGGAAATATCCCTACTGTCAAGACGCTGCAGGGTCTCCACTGGGCGGATCTCAAGAGCTCCAAGCCTCTACGGACGTTTTGGTACAGCTTCACTGGCATGTTTTCCTACGAGTTTCTTCCTGCTTACATTATGCCCTGGCTCAACTCCGTCTCCATCCCCTGTTTGGCATCCATGAAGGCCACGGGCGACAAGGCCGAGGTTCTGACCAACATCTTTGGAGGGGCTCAGAACAACGAAGGACTGGGGCTTTTCAGTCTCTCATTTGACTGGTGTGGAGCATCAATGTGGTTACATAAGATGGCAGCGCAGCTAATACAGCTTATAGAGGAATAATAGAAAGTAAAGATAATAGGGAAAATCAGCCTTATATTAGATAAAGCTATAAGGGATAACTAGTTAATTTATATATCCTATTTCCTAGCCTTAGGTTATATAATTTAAGTTATAAGATAATACTATATTTTAAAATACTTAAGGTTATTACTTATTTATACTTATTATTAGTATAAATAAGATAAGCTTTTTTATTAAAGTAGTACTTTATATAATATACTCTTTAATTATTAAGTATAAGTTAATATAGAATAAAGAAAATAATTATATATAAAAAGTATAGTAAAAAATAGCTATTTATATAAAAGGGTATTTTATAAAGAGAATAGAATAGTATATTTATATTTTTTTTTATTTTCTATAAAGAATATACTAATATATTTCTTAAATATATATTTTATAATATAAATAATAGTTTAATATAAGAATAAATAGATAATAGAGTTATTACTTTTTTTAATAAATAATTTAAAGTACTTTTTATTTTAACTAATAAGTAAATTAGTATTTTTAAATATAAAAAGCTACTCTTTACTATATATTATTCTTATATTCTTTATTATCTATTTACTTTTTTCTAACTACTTACTTTTTTATTTATTAAAAGTAATAATAGTTTTTTATTACCTTTTTATTCTTTTTCTTTTATTATTATTAGTTATATTAAATTTTTAATAATAGTTTTTTTATATACTAGCTTTATAACTATTAACTCCCCCTTCTTTACTATTATTAAGGCTTTTACCTTTATTACTACTAATAAAAAGTCCTTTAAAAAGGTAATTATATCCTTAGATACTTAAGAAAAGTCCTTTAAAGAGGTAAATATTAAGAAGCCCTCCTTAAAGGCCTTTATACTCTTTACTAAGTAAGAAAAGCCCTTTATAGAGGTATATAAGTTATATATTAACTTATATAAAGAAGTATAGGCCTATAATAGTATTATATATCCCCCTTAGTATAACTACTACTAGATTAGTATAGCTATAGCTACTCTAGCTAATAAGCTAAAGCCCTAGACCCCTATAAGCCTAGTCCTACTATTAGTAGTATATATACCTACCCCTATTAAGGAGGTTAATAATAAGGATATTAATAATAATAATAATAATAATAAGGGTATTAGTATAGCTATATTAGTTAAGAAGGAAGTTAAGGTTAAAGATAAGAATAAAGAAGAAGAAAAGGAGAAGAAGGAAGTACTTATTATACTATACTATCCTTATTATAGTACTTTTACTACTTCTATTAAGATAACTCCTATAAGTTATATAACTTAGTTATAATTAATACCTTTATTAGTATATATTATAAGTACTTACTTTTTTACTTAAGTTAACTAAAACTAACTAATACTTTCCTAGCCCTAGACCCTAGTAAAGTAACTAGTAAAGGCTAATCCTAAGCTTTACTAAGTAAACCCTTACCTAAAATATACTTAATCTATACTTTTTAGTAAAAAGAATAGTATATATTATAACTTTATACTAATTAAGAAGATAATATACTTATAAAAATATAAAGGTTATACTTATTATAATTATAAGTATAAGCTATACTTAGCTATAGTAATCCCCTTTATTTAGTATTTAATAATAGTATATAAAGATAGCTTTAAGTCTATAAGTTATTTATTATTTACTTTTATTACCTTTTAGTAGTACTTATTAATACTCTACTCTTTCTTTTAAGATAAGGTTTTATATTATATAATATTATATACTATTTTTAAAATATTAAAAAAGGAGGATAGTATATTTAATACTATTATTACTAATATAGTATTAAGTAAAGAAGCTCTTCTTAAGTAAAAGACCTAGGCTTTATATTATTTTAAGGTATTTATTAATAAAGTTATATAATAAAGTTATTAAAAATTAGTATATATATTATAATAATTAAATAGAATATTACTTATCCCTAGGTTCTTTAGAGGGTTAGAGATTAAATAATACCTTCTTACCTATACTATACTTTATATTCTATATTAAAATAATTATATTACTCTCCTTAACTATATTTAAAAGCTTTTTTAGATTAATAAGATATTTAAACTTTAGAAAGGCTTAATAAGGTAGAGCTTTAGTAAGACTATCTATAAATATTACTTTACTTAGAATAAAAGTAAGTATAAAATACCTATATCTATATTCCTATTTTAACTATATATTATTAATATTAATATATTATAGCTTAGTTAATATATACTTTCTATTACTAATAATAATATATATTATCTAAGTATTATTATATATTATCTTATATAAGAGAGCTACCTATCTTCCTATTATTATAAGAAAATAGTATATTATAAAAGCCTCTTTTACTAAGCTAAATATACCTAATAATTTAGCCTTTATTATAGATAGTATAATAGTATCTTATTTTATAGCTTTTTAAAATATAAGACTACTATATAGAAAGATTATTTAACCTTAAGATAACTTCCTAGTAATAGGGTTATTAGTATATAATATATTACTAGTAATTTATAAAATAACTACTTCCTTATTTAGACTATAAGTAAAGACTAAAGTCTTTATAGTATATAGATAATATATATAATACTCTATAGCTAGAATATAATTTCTTAATAGATTTATAAGGAAGTAGGTAAGAAAGGATACTATATATATAATATCTAACTAGACTATAATTAATATATATAATATTAACCCTATTAACTCTTAAAAGTAATAAATATCTACTTTACTTACTATACTAGTATATTAAGTAAGCTTTCTAGATAGTAGTAATATATACTACTTTCTAGGTTAATTATAAGTAAGTTTATATTTCTTAGCTATCTTCTTAATATATTATTTATAGCTAAAAAATAATAGCTTTTATCTTCTATTATATATAATATAGATACTAAAAAACTACTTAAAATCTCCTTAATTATATATATTATATACTTATTTTATTTTTATTATAAAGAATAGAGTTTACTTTTTATACTTCTTATTATAAAAAAAGAGGATATTATTAATAAAAAATACTAAGAATATCTTCCTATCTTTAGAATAGTATAGATAAGGCTCCTCCTTATATTATAATAAGTTATACTTTATAAAGGTATTAGTAAATTCCTTAAGCTATAGATAGGGTAAGTCCCTTAGGCTATATAGGGCTTTCTTAAGAAGGGCTATCTATCTATTAAGTAATTATATATAGATTTTTAAGATATTATTAGATTTAGTTATATTAAAGAAAGTATTCTTTATATTAAATTAGTATACCTTAAGGTTAAGGTAGGTAGCTATAGCTATTATTACTTAGAAGGCTCTTATAGTAAGTATAGCTATATATATTATATTATATTCCTTAATTACCTATAAATTACCTTTTATAATAATTTATACCTTATATTATAATAAATAACCTTATTAATTAAATTTATATATATAAACCTAATAAAGAGGTAATATCTTTATATTATTAGTCTTAGTTATAATCTTAAAGGTTTTTTTCTTTTTTACTTATTTAAATTTACTTTATTTAGTAGCTTCCTAAAGCTATTAAAGTAGATAATTCTTTATTACTTAACTATCTTTTAATACTAATAAAAGATTATTATAATAATAATATAATTATAGCTAAACTATTTTATTTACTTAGAGTATATCTACTAATATTATAAAGAGCTATAGTAAGCTTTAATCTCTTTTATATAGGTTATAAAGTATTTTAACTTTAATAATTATATCTTCCTAGGGTTTTAAGAAGATAGCTATATTCTAGCTTTTTATATATCTTACTTACTCCTTTCTTTCTTTATAAAGGCTTTATCTATCTTTTCTAATAACTAGTTTTTTAATAGAAATAATTAGATTAAGTTTAAATATAGGTATACTTTTAGTACTTTATTATAAAGTATTTTTAATACTTTCTTTTAGGTTAAAGCTATTTATATTAATAAATAGTAGCTCTTTTAAGGTAAGTTAGAATTTATTATCTTTTAAAGTAACTACTTTATTAGTATAATTAATTTCCTTCTCTAGAAATAGAATTAACTTAAAACTTAGTAGTTCTTAGGCTAATTTATATATTATTTTATATTTAACTAATAAGGTATTATTATCTATTATAACTTTTAATATTTCTTCTTAAAGGCCTTTAAGAGTTATTAACCTTATACTTTAAGTTATATTAAGTTTTAATACTTTTATTATAAGGCTTTCTAATACTTTTATTATAATATTATTTAGCTTTTTTTTACTTAGGTATAGTAGTATAGTTATCTTTAGATAAAGCTATAGTTTATCCTCTTTATTTTAGAATAGTTTTTAATAAAGACTATCTACTTTAATAATAGGAAGTATATTAATACTCTTTATTAATAGCTAGTAAAATAGCTTCTTATTAAAATATATATTCTTTATAGTAATAATATACTCTAGTTAAAGAATCTATACTTTATAAATATTAGTTATAATATAGCTAACTAAATATCTAATATAGCCTTTAAGGCTAATCTTAAAGTCTCTTCTATTAGACCCTTACTTCCTTTCTCTTAATAGTATATATATATAGTATTTATAAGCTTATAAAGCTCCCTACTTAGGCTAAGTATTTAATATAAGTATAGGTTTATATATATATACTTAGGAATTCTTTTATAGCTATTTAATAAATACTTTATATAGTATCTTCTAGTTATACCTTTATAATAAACTAATATATATTAGTATTATAGTAGTTATATAACTTTTAGGCTATAGGTTCCTTAAGAGGTTAGTACTATATAATATCTTAATAAAGTATATAGTTATTTCTTATCTTATATACTTAATACTACTATTTAGCTCTTTTATATATAGTAATAGTATTTCTAGGGTAATTCCTTTTTCTTATACTTAAAGCTAGTACTTAGTATAGGTAGAATTATATTAAATTATTAAGGGCTTATTATTTTACTATATTATATATATATCTAGTCTATATTAGGTTTTTACCTATATATAGAAAGCTTAAATAGTATAAAATAAGGGTCTTTATACTTTTAAAGGTAATAGCTAATAATAAATATACCCTATATACTTATCTTTAATAATAAGTAATTAGAATTTACTATTATAACTTATAGAATAGTCTTAAAGATCTTAACTAATCCTATTAAATAGTCTTTATATAGGGTTATAGTTAGGTTATTATAAGATAACTTAGCCTATATAGGTTAATATATAACTCTTATAGTTAATATATTTAGTTTTAATAATCTTTATATTTAATATACTTTTACTAATTATACTTAAAACCTATAGCCTTAAATACCCTAAATAAAGATACTATAGGTATTTATTAGCTTATAATACTAGTAGTAGTTAGGTAGAGTATTTATAGCTTTATCCCTTCTTTTACCTTAATAGTATTATAACTATATTATCTTCTAGGTATATTAATAATTATTAAAGAAAAATATATTTAAAAAATATAAGGTTATTAGAGTATATTAACTATTAAACTACTTTACTTTTTACTATATCTTCTCTATATAAAGTATAATTAAAGCTATATAGCTATAAACTAGTAAAGTAAACTAGTACTTCTAATATAATATTAACTAGTATTTCTAGTATTATATATATATTACTTAATATTAGGGTTTTAGATTTACTTTTAATATTTAATATATTTATTATTATATAGGTTTTAATACTATCTAGTTAAAGGATTTATTTACTAGTATTTATAGAAAATCTATTATCTAGGACCTAAATTAATTCTAGGTTAAGAAGTATTATATTATTAATAATATATATATTACTATAGTTATTAAGGAGTATAGATTTATATAAATAGTATTTACCTAAGTCTATAAGAGCTATATTAATAGTATAAGCTAGTCTTTTAAAAAAGCTATATTTATCCTTATAATCTTCTAAAAGTTTAAATCTAAATAATATATATATAAATTTATTACTCTTTCCTTTATTACTAGTAAAGCTCCTATTACCTTTATACTATATATACTTTACTTTTATATATATATTATATTTAGTACTAAAGTAGCTCTTAATATTAAGGATCTACTAGGTAGTTAGAGGCTTTATAATATATACCTTCTTATTACTTATTATAGTAAATTAAAGTATATAGTATTCCTTAGGCTTTTACTAATACCTTTTTTTAATATTATAAGGATATATAAAGTCCTTAGGCTTATCCTTTCTATACTTTTTATTACTATAAGGTATACTATATATAGGAGCTAATTTTAGGGGTTATAGCTTATTACTTATATAGAGGGAGGTCTTATATTCTAATAAGGTTATTTTTAGTCTTTTACCTTAAGTAATATAAACTTTATTCTTATATAGTTATAATAAAGCCTATTCTAGGTATAGCTTTATTTTAATAGCTTTAAGGAAATTATTAATTATAAAATAACTATTAATTAATAATATATTAAGTATATTTATATAATTATATATTACCTCCTAATTCTTAAACTATTTCTTAATACTAATATTTCTTTAATATATATCTTATAGTATACTCTTATAAGTATAATCTACCTTAACCTTTATATATACTATATTTAAAGTAATAATTAACTTAAGCCTTTTAACTAATTAGTAAATAGTATACCCTTTTAGGTATTCTTTCTTAAGCTTATTATATACTTTAATTATTAGATAGGGATTAATAGATAATATAATAAGTTTATAGACTTTATTTAGCTTAGTTTTACTCTTTTTATATACTTATAAGGTAATTTTATATTCTTATTATTTTTAATTAAATAAAGCTTTAAGTATATTAAATATCTTAAAGTTTACTTTAGTAGGTTTATTAAGCTTTATAATTTTATAAAGTTCTACTTTATATATCTTAATCTTTATAAATATATTAAAAGGGTTTAATATATCTTTAATATTATTTTTCTTTATAAGATTAATAATTATCTATATACTTATTATAAAGAACTAAAAAGCTTAGATCTAATTAAACTAACTCTTTAAATTATATTATTTAAGTCTAGATAAGACTATAACCTTAGTATAAAATAATATAATAAAATAATAAAATAATAGAATATTATATAATAATAATAATAATAATAATAATAATAATAATAATAATAAATAAAGTAATAATAAAAGAAAAGGATTTATATAATATAAATATTATAAGAAGTTTTAAATTATAATAAATACCTTATATAATTAAAACCTTTTAGGCTTATAACTATAAAGTATTAATATAATTATATAAGATAGTAGTATAGTTAATATAGCTTATAAAGAAATAATAAAAAGTAAAGATAATAAGGAAAATTAGCCTTATATTAGATAAAACTATAAGGGATAACTAGTTAATTTATATATCTTATTTCCTAGCCTTAGGCTATATAATTTAAGTTATAAGATAACGCTATATCTTAGGATACCTAAGGTTATCGCTTATCTACGCTTATTGTTGGTGTGGATAAGATAAGCTCTCTTATCGAGGCAGTGCTCTGTGCGATAACTGGCAATACGTATGTTAACCCACTTTGCCCTGATCCTTTTTTGAATGCTTACTGCAACGTCGCAGATCACTTCTGGCTCAACGTCTATGCCGCTGACGACGCAACTGCACTCGGCGGTGGGCCTCTTTATCTGCTTCATGGCCATGGTCGGCATTTACTACAATAATGTTTGGGAATCAAGGGCACAACCCTTCATGTCTACGCGTCTTCGATCAGCAAGCGGATCGGCTTATCCCGTTGGCAAAGTATTTTCCGGTGGCATTCTCAATGAGACAGCCTTTGAACAGTATGGGGTACCGCGGCTTACTGGAAGCTTTGCGTATGCCATGCTCATGGCCAATGCAGCGGTACATAATACACGTTACAAAAATACCGACTCTCCAAGCTAACATTGTCCCCAGATTGGCGCTCTTATTATGCACTGCATTCTGTTCTGGGGAAAAGATATCCTGAGAGCATACAAGAGCGCACAAAGGGGCAACTTCAACGACAAGCATCATGAGCACATGGCCAAGCACTACCGAGAAGCTCCCTGGTGGTGGTATGCCATCATTCTAGTTGGCAGCTTTGTACTGGGCCTTGCTGTGGTTCTGAGTCAAAATATCACCATTCCTGTATGGGCATAGATTGTGTCTCTTCTTCTAGGCATCGTCATTGCCCCATTTGTACGTGTTATCCAGGTTCCGAGAGCGCACAGCTAATCTGCCTATAGAGCGTCATACTTCTTGCACGCTTCGGAAATGGCATCGCGACAAACAACCTGTCCAAAATGATTGCTGGACTGACCCTTCCTGGTCGGCCGATTGGCAACATGTACTTTGCCGCGTGGTCGCATTCCGTCATTGCCAGTTGTGTGAACCTATCGAGCGACCTGAAATTAGGAGACTACCGTACGCCTTGACCCTTGCTTTTCCTGTTTTTTTTCTGAACAAGTTCTGTGCGTTGACATGTCTGCATAGTCAAAATCCCCCCGCGCGTCATGTTCCTGACCCAAATTTACGGCACTTTGATCGGCGCAGTCGTCAACTATGCAGTCATGATCTCCATCGTCAACGACAATCGCGACTTGCTCGCGAATACAAACGGCAACTCTTCATGGAGCGGAGCGTCGATTCAGTCTTACAACACCAACGCAACGTCATGGGCGTTGGCAAAGTATCTGTACACGGCTGGCTCCAGGTATGCTGTTGTGCCATTTGGCGTTTTGATCGGCGCCGCCTTGGTTGTCGTGCAGCGAGTTGTTGTCATTGTAAGCGGCATCTCTTAGTTGTTCTTCAGCCATCATTGCTAACAACTAAAACCCAGTTTGCCCCAAAAGTTCGTGGCTTCTCTCTCGACCGCATTAATTTGCCGCAGTTGCTGCAGTATGCCGGATTCATTCCATACAACCAATCGCAAACGTGCATCATCCTCAGTGGGATTATTGCCGGTGTCTTTATGCAGTTCTATCTGCGAAACTACCACCCGCGGATTTTCAAGAACTATTCATACCTAGTCACTAGTGCGTGGGATGGAGGCAGTCTGACCTGTCTCTTCATTCTGTCTTTTGCTGTCTTCGGTGCGGCTGGTCGAGCGGTTCCCTTTCCGCAATGGTGGGGGAACAACGTGAAGGGGAACTTGGATCTGTGTCCGACGCCGGAATAGATGGGGTATTAAGAAGCTCTTGACCTTTCACGTCGGCCCGATGGCGCCAACGGTCAGGGCCGAGCCGAGCCCAGGAAGCGCAACGAGTACCAGTGGGAATGTAAAATGTCTGAAATGGAGGAACGAAAAAAGCCAACAGTTATTTCTAGTTCTTGGGTAACAGATCCGGCGGGCCTCAAGAAATTACAGGATGCACAAGTGAAAAAGGTCAAGGAGTACACCAAAACCCGGGATGAGGGCGACTTGGTGAAGATTTGCGCAGAGGAGGGTCAAGTTGCGTATGACCAGTGCAAGCGTGGTTCCGTCTAAGTACGAGGCTCTGTCCAAGTACTACTAGGAATAGAAGAAATAATTGGGTCCTGGATGATTACGATTGGATCGAGCACGTCATATTTGTATGCATCTTGGAACGAGTCGTTTGTAAGTGCATAAACTTGAAAAGCTCGATAGATGCCAACGAGTGCCATTCTAGAATATTGACTGAGACAAAGACGTCGTATTTCTGCTTATGGGGGTTTGATACAATCGAATGCGACACCAACAAGACATTCCGAAGAGGACGACCAGCTAAATCCATGACACGGAAGAAACGCGCACAATAGCGGTTATTTAAGTAGACAAGGGGAGAACCTCACCACAGTTGTACCCCAGCAGCGTTAGGAAGCGAGGGTCAATAGAGCCGTCGTCGTTGCGGATGCCGTCACGAAAGCTCTGCGGGCTTGAAACACGAATGTCCAGGGCAAGCGTTTTGAAGTTGACAAGTCCCTGCACAATGCGCACTTCCCAATTCCAGAAGGAAAGCACAGTCACCTGTTGCGGGTGATTAGCAGAACAGCCTAGGCTGGCCAAGTGGTGGGACTCACGGCAAAGTGATCCGAAGCTTCGAACGCAGGCTTGAATTTATTCGCGCCAGCGATAAAGAGGATGGTCTTGAACTCGCTCGTTCGGAGCACGCCTGCCATCCAGGGCGTTGAGTCAACGGTATGGCAGATGACATGCGGCTTGCGAGGATCGGGACATGGCTCGCGAGGCGTGGGAGTGTGAAGCTCGGAGGGTAAGCGAGGCTTGGGGGTTGGGCGAGGCTTGTAGGGTAGTAGATGTATGAAGGCGTCAAGAAGCTGCCACTTATAGACGTCCTCGTGGAAGTACCTTAGCCAAGGCAGGACACACTCGGCACTACAAAGAGAGGCATGGTTAGCATAGAAGTGCAGACATTGGCATGTTGCCTATACATGATACGTACCCGCCGTTGTCCCAGGAAGTTCTGCTTAGCAGGTACCCGGGAGACTCCTCGTCCTGGTAGAGCATCAAGTAGGTATGCACAGTATTGGCGAAGTGGTCGGCGTTGCGGTAATGATAATACGGCTCGTATCTGAAGAACTCCAAGACGGGTTCATAATTATAAAAGCCACCGTCCTCGTTCAACTGCATCCAGGGCTTTATCTCATCAATAGCACCCCTCACCACCGCTCTATCCATGGGGCAAAGTAAAGTGGGAGCGTTGTTGACGGGCTGGCCGCTGGCAAAGTCCAGGGGCGTGATAGTGGCATTGTACTCCTCTAGTACTGACTCTGCAACGCCGGGGCTTTTAAAGGTTGTGAGCGGGCGAAGGATCTTTTCGAGGAATTGTCTCCCAGCGACGAGCCCCGGGGACGGCGCATCGGCTGATTGCTTTGGCTGATCCATGTCGTAGTCTCGTTGTCGATGTTGATGGTTGATGGTGACTGACAGACTTAGGTTGGTGTGAAGAAAAACAAAAACAAAGAGGGTGGCGCTACCTACAGTGGGGGGACAAATCAATCCCCACTTATGGTGAGGAGCACGGAACTTTTGGCAACCCACTGTAACACGAGGGTACAGATCAGGCAAGGTTAAGGAGGATACCTTATTGGACTATAGAGTAATAATTTTCTAGCCCTATACTTAGGTAAGTTTTTATCTCCTTAATATATTATTAATTCCTTTCTTTTTTTTCTTTTTTATAAACTTTAAGAATTTATTAAAAATAATACTATATTATATTAAATTATTAAAATATTATTAAAATATTATTAAAATAATATAAATTTATTATATTATATTATATTATATTATATTTATATATTAATTAAATCTTACCTATATTAAGTATAAAGTAAAAAAAATAATAAAAAGTAATTTAATTTTTTTATATTTATAAAAAAAGTAAATAATATCTTATAAATTTATTATTAATATATTAATAAAGTATAGAATAATAGTATTTAAATCTTAATTAATAAAGTTTTTTATTATACTTAGATTAATAATAATATAATATAATTACTTTTATAATATAATAGTTTTATAATATAGAATTCTATATAAGTTAATATATAAAATATTAATTTAAATCTAGCTAGAAATACTTTAAATAACTTTTTTAAAAGTTAAATAATATAGCTTAGCCTTATAACTAACTTATAAAGAAATATAAATAAAATAACTATAATAAACTAAAGTAAATACTAAAAAGTAATATATAGTAACTATTAAATTACCTTAGCCTTTAATTAATAAAATAAAACTAAAAGCTATATATATATTATAATAATAATAATTTTTATATACTAATTAGGCTAAATAACCTATCTAGTACCTTTACTAATTATAGGATAAAGAAAAACTAGAGTATTTAAAGGAAAACCTTATCTATATTTTATAGAATTTATTATAGTTTTATTCTAAAGTATATAAAGGTCTAATAAGACTCCTTTTAATACTATATACTAGGTTTTTATCTATATCCTAGCCTATATCTAGCCTATATTATTCTAGCTAGCTAAGCCTAATAACTATCTTCTTTCCCTTTAAGTTTTTATCTATATTAAGGGGGTTATATTTAATTCTATATATCTTTAGACTAATTAAGCTTATTATCCTTTTAACCTTTTAGTTCTTTTCCTTTTTTTTATTTTTTTTTTATTTATATTAAAGAGAGCTATATCTAGCTTTATAAGTCTTTAGGCTAGTTAAGCTTAATTACTACTATAGCCTCTTTATTTTTATAATATCCTTACCTTTTTTCTTTTTTAAGAGTTTCTAGCTTTTATCTTTACTTATTATCCTTTTTTATCTTTAATACCTTATACTTTATTTATATAGGTTTAAAGTATATTCTATAAAGGATATTATAATAATACTTTTAAAGGTTATTTTTAATTTTTATTATTATTAGTTTATATTATATAATAAGATTTAATAAATAAATAAATATATTTTCTTTATAATTATTAGTTTTTAATAAAAACTAAATAATAATTTTAATTACTTTTTATTTAAATACTTATAATTATTATTATTTTTTTATTAGTTAATATATAATTAATAAGTTATTATTTTAATTCTATTTATAGTTAATAAAACCTTATATAAATAAGTAATTTAAAGCCTTATTAGCTATTAGCTAGTAGTTAGTAAGGAATAAAAAGTGTTCTTTTTTTCTTTCTTTTCCTTTTTCTTTTTCTTTTTTTCCTTCTTTATTATTAATATTATTTTCCTTATTTTTATAATATATTCCTTTTCTTTTTCTTTTTTACCTTTTTTTCCTTTTTTATATTCTTTTTATTTATACTTATAGCTATTCTTTATTAAATCTTATTATTCCCTATTAACTAACTTTATATAGTTATTTTATAATATTTTATTTATTATTATTTACTTTTATATTTAATTAAAAAAAGGCTTTTAATCTTTTTATTAATCCTTTTAGCTTTCTAGCTATTAATATTATAGTTTTTATTTATTTCTATATATACTTTTCTTTATTTTTTAAGCTTTTTATATTTAATAATATATCTTATTTATTAGTTAAGAATTTATAAAATATTATATTTCTTTCTATATTAAATCTTCTATTTAAGTTTAAGCTTATAATTCTAAAATACTTTATAAAGAATATTATTAATTAGCTTTATTTTATTATAACTTATTAGTTTATTTTTTAATTTTTATAGTTTATTTTAAATAGTTTAGTTTTTTTTATAAGTCTTTATTAGTTTTTATTTTATTCTTTACTCTTATTTCTCTTTTTTTTATTTCCTTATTAGTTTTTTATTTTCTTTTTAATTTACTTTTAACTTATAATATTATATTAGTACTTTTAAGGTTCTTTTTTTTACTTTTATTAGTTTTATAAAGACTATAAAAACTATATTATTTACTTTATTCTTTTTAATTTAATAACCTAAAAAGAAAAAAAGAAAAATAAATAAAAGTCTAGAAAAAAAAGCCTATAAAAAGAATATATTATCTTATTTCTATAAGTATTAGTCTTATATAGATTCTTTATATAAATTATTTACTTTTTATAAATAAAGAATAATTAATTTATTATAAGTTAAAAGGTAAGTTTTTTTTTTATTTTTTTATTTAAAAGCTAATTAATATAATTCTAAATTTAAACTTTTATTTTTAATATATAAAAAAAAAGCTTTCTTATCTTTATATTTATACTTTTATTATTAAGTTTATTATTACTATTTAAGTTTAGCTAATTACCTAGTTTAAGCTTAAGGCTTTAACTTAGCTTTTTAATATAATTAATAATTTCTTTAAAAAAGGAAAATAAAAAATATACTTAACTATATAATATAGTTATTTATTAATACTATATTATAGGTAATATAACTAAGAAATATATTTATAGTATAATTACTTTTATTATACTTTTTAGCTTAATTCTAGTTTATAAGATATACTCCTAGCTATAAATAAAACTAACTAAATAGGTTTACCTAACTTATTTATTATTTACTATTAGTATATTAGGATTTAAGTACCTATTTTTAAATATATTTATTATTTAAAGTAAACTAATAAGTATTCTTAAAGGACTTATTAGTAATATATATATAATATACTCTTTACTTATAACTCTAATTAATTATTTTAAGCCTTAATATAATATTTTTATACTTTTTAATAGGTTTAATCTTATTATTTATAATAAGGTTATTAATAGTAATAAGCTAAAACTATTTAAGTTATTCTAGACTTTTCTTAATTATACTACTATTATAAGTCTATTTTTAATATAATAGATCTTAAAGGAAAAGGTTAAATAAGCCTTTATTAATAAAAAGGGAAAAAGTCTAACTAAAAAGGGTATTAAGAATAAAAAAAAGAAAAAGGAGCTTTATTTAAATAAAGGTAAAAATCCTATAAAGGCTAATAAAGATATTATTAAGAAAGCTATTACTAAGAAAGAGGTAATTAAAATAACCTTAACTATCTTTATTTCTAGGTTTAGTAAAAAGTAGTCTTTTTCTTTTTTAATATTATAATAAATATTATTATATTAGCTAATAAAAATTTATAAAATACCTTAATTAGATAATAGAATATTATACTTTAAACCTACCTTTATCTATATTATTATTAAAACCTAATTAAAACTTAACTTAGTTTATTATTCTTTATTACTTATTTATACTTAAAGGTATTATAGTTATTATTATTTATAGAACTATATTATAATAGTTATTATATACTTTAAGTAGTTAAAAGTTAAGAGAATATCTTTCTAGTTTTAAAAAGGGGTTATATCTAGGCCTAGGTATAATAGTAAATAAAAGAAAATAATATAAATAGGATTTTTAGGTTCCTTTTTATATTAATATATTAATAAGAAAAATCTAAAGACTCTTTTATTATAAAGAAAGGCTATTAGTTTAATCTTACTTATATAAAGTTATATAATTAATAAACTAATATAGTATAAAGGGGATTATAAAATATTCTTTCTTTTTTTATATTAGATTTATAATAGGTAATATATTAAATAAATCTATAGTTCTTTAACTTACTTTTAGTAATATATATTTATATTTTCTTAATAGTTATTTTATATAACTTAAAGCTATTTACCTAGTTTCTTCTTATTACCTTTTATTATTTAGTTAGTATTTATTAAAAGTCCTTTTAAAAAGTATATAAAAGGTAGCCTTTATTAGTAGATTTTAAAATATTATACTATTAAGATTAAAATCTATAATATAACCTAGGTTATTATATATTAAAGCTAAGCTATTATTTTATTCTCTTTTTATCTTATTAAAATCTAAACTTTATAGGTAATAAAGTAAAAATAAATAAAAGAAATATTAAGTTTAACCTTAATATAATAGGTAATTATAACCTAGAAGGCTTTTACTATTATATAAAGGTATATTACTTAAAAGGTATTAAAAGTAATAACTAAGCTTATTAGTCTATCTTTTAAGGTATATTAAATAATAAGGCTATAAGTTATAATTAGTTAAATAGTATAAAAGTAAAGTTCTTTTATATATCTTAACTAAAGGCTTTAGGTTATTTTAATAGAAGTTTTAAAGGCTTATTAAATAAAAAGAACCTTTATTTTAACTTTAGCTATATATACTATTTATACTAATAATAATATAAATTAGACTTTTAAAAGTTAAATTACTACTTATAGTATAAGCTAGTAGTTCTTAAGCTAAAGGCTTTTTAAAACTATAAATTAACCTTATTAAAAATAAAGAAGCTAGAATTTTAAAATAAAGAATATTAAAGTATAAATTACTAACTACTTAGAGTATATAGTCTATATTTATTAAAGCTAGACTATAACCTAATCTAAAAATACTATTATATTAAGAAGGTTTATATTATTAATAAATCTTATAGTTATTATTCTTTAAATC